TCGTCTGACTTCCAAATAACAGTTAATTACTCATACAAACTAATTTGTTTCCTCTTAAAAGAATAATATAATATAATAGTTAATTGGAATTATTTATTATCTAATCATATTTTTCGACCTGTCGAAAAGACACACTTGGTAAGACGCAAGATGCGGTAAGTAGATTTGTAGAAATCGCGCAACGGCTCTATAAAAATTAGCGATATGTTTCGTTGCCACCACCAGCATGGTGGCTGCCCGTAGGCCAGGTTTTGCTCTGTGATTTCGCCTCGGCGGTCGCTTCTTCGAAAATACAGTTACTCCGACCGTCGATCTAGCGTCGATCCGTTACGTAACACTCCGTGGAAACGCTCGTGTCGGCTCGGCTCGGCTCGGCGCGCGTTACGTGCGGTTTCCGTAAATTGCTATGTGCGAACCCGACCGTCCCGCGTCGCGCTCGAGGTACATACTCGTCGACGTAGTGGCGGGGTCGGAGGTATCCTCACGACGCATCTCGCGAAAAGGGCGCCCCTCGTACGAGCTAGCACGCCGCGCCGCGGGGGAAGCGAGTGCGGAAAAATCGCCGCACGAAAACCGCACGTGGCCGAGGAAAGCGGCGGAGAAAACGATGTTTCGTGCACGTGCGAATTATGCATCGGGGCGTGATTACCGCGTGCGAAAAAATCCGGCAGAAAAAACGGAGATGCGCGCGAGGATGTTGCGCCGAAGGGATCGTGCTGGATCACGTGAACGTGTATGCTTGGGCCAATGGCAATTAGCCAAATTAAATAATACGTGGGATAATTATTTGGAAAGTTCACCAACCGATGTGCGTACGTGTGTACATTTTGTCGTGGTTTTAATCGGATATATATCGATTCAAACGCGCGCGGATTTTAATTGCGGTCTAACAGAGAGACCGCTTCGGGAATTATGCATGGAATCGAGGGAGTAATTATTACGATTGAACGATATTCCATTACGCGAAGGATGGTACTAATGTAAAGATCGCTGCACTTAGACAGTTGCGTTTTTCGAGTTCATTTCTTTTTTTATTACTACCGTTATCTTATAACTTGTGCGGAAAATTAAACATATGTCGTGCAAGTTATCCGCCTCTTTCCGGGATAGAGATGGAGCGAAGTTATATTGGGAGATAATCTGCATCTTTTTACAGCCGAGTAACTACCGCCCGCAAATAATCAAACCTTACTTGTGCCATGTCGCAAACAGTTCAAGTTAAGAGCTATACTTATCTTAAAACATAAACAGACCTATACGCATAGTTATATTTAGCTAAAGTGAAGCTATAAGATACCTTTATACCGCCATTATTTGAAGCTTCTCGATCTATTCGTCCATATTTCCGATTGGGATTGGCTCGTAGGAAGCACAAATAAAATCGTGAAAATGTTAGAAGAGATTTTAATTGAAGATACACCGCAGAAAGTTGCGAGAGATATTCAAAGGGAAAAATTCCGCATCCCGATAATCTTGCTGGGATTTAGGTCAACGTGGCAAGAGAGTAAGTCGCCTCGTGGTTACCGCATAATGAATTAAAATTACCGGTTGCGGCGGCAGGACTTAAACACAAAGCGCTTCCTTAAAGGCAAGAATTATTGTAATTACAACAATTTATTGTTACAGGGAGCAGCCGATGGCGCGGAATGGGTTATACTTAACGGATCAATGGCGCTATCTAACGACAACTTCTTAAAATGTGTGTCGTATCGTACGCTTTAGTATCGTAGCTTTAGCTGGCGACATCTTGGTTCCCAACATGAGACACTCTAGGCTGTAGTTACGTGCAAGTTTTTCCTAACGTTGATATTTTATATTAATGAAAGGAAGGATAATTTTAACCTCATAAATAGCAAATTATCGTTTCCGATCAGTTGTATTTATGCCCCGATTGAAATTGATCGTGACATAGTTCATTTTCAATAAAATAATAATTTAAAAAAGAATTTATTATTTTCAAAACTTCGACTTGAAATATTACATATTTAAAGAAATATAGATATTTAAAATTCAAGAACTGTATATCGACAGTAAAATGAAAAATACAGTGGAATGAAATTTTTTTTTAGAGAATGTAATAATAATAAAAAAAAATATATATATATATATTATAATGGTAACGATAATGGTATAATATTGAAAAACATTTTTTCAAAAAATTCCGACCGGCCCCAAGGTGCGATTCTTCTTATGGTATCAGGAGTCGCAAGGAAATTTATCGACGGCGGATGCAAGGAACCGTTTACCTCGCGCGAGTCGACATCAGGACGACTCCTCCTCATTCGGGTCCAGTCCACCCACGTTCGTATCGTCACGTGCTGGAAATGATCACGTGGCCTGTGAAGGTTCTGCCCCCTCATTATCATAACCGCTTCCACCTCATACGGAGCCTAAGCTGCCTCTAATAAGGAGCGGCATTCGTAATCGTGACAACCGGAGGGGGCCACGCGTTCGTTTTCATGCGAAATCGCTACGCCATTGCTTGCTCGCTTTCCACTTTCCTATTTATCTATGCCTGTCGTTACGTCGCTCTCGTCAGCATCTCGTATACATTAAACAACGCCTCGCGGTGCTACGTGCCGCGTCTCGAACGGCGCCGTTTATCGGACGACGCGAAATTGCACGTTTAGATCTCGTGTGCAACCGACGATCTTCTCGCTTTCCTTCACCGAACGTTGTGTCAGTATCCGAGTTATACTCGGATACTCGAGCACTACCTGGATACGCAAGTGCTTCGGATATTTCTCGCGTATCCAGTTTGATTTTTACCCGAGTACTCGAGCACCGTATTTAGTGCGGATATTTTACTGAAACGAAAGATTAAATCAAGTGAGGCGGAAATAAACAACAGATTGCGAACGATCATTACTCGTGATTTTTGATTCCGAGTACCTGAGCACTCGATTACTTCAGACCGCGCTCGAGCAATCTGCTCTGTGATCGAAAAGTAGAAACAACGAATAGGAGAACGCACGGTGGAAACTTTTGCATTCGTACATTTAAATATGCTGAAGATCTTTATCGCTTCGAGAGATCGTGCGCGCATGTGTTCTCATCTCTGGAAAGCCGCATGCATTTGAAAAATGCGACCAGGCTTCACGCAAGTGTTGTTCGACGTCGTGAGCGACAAGGGTAGCCTTTGCCTTTCCAAGTGTTTAACTTGGGCGGTATCAGCCATCCATCTCATACCAGTCCGCTCTCGTGACTCGTCGACCGTTATACGTGGTTAATAATTGCCGATTACATCGATCCTCGATCGTTACACGCACGTTTTCGGTAATGCCATCGCGAAGTGTTATTTGTCACATGACGACCGACGCGAAGAAGAGGGCCCCGCATCTGCAATTTCAACGAACAACTGCCGTGGCGAGGCGCCTTGCAACGAAAAGCTAGTCGTCCCTCGTAAGTATCGGTTCGATCGCATGGGCAATTTTCCGTAAGTTACGGAAATTACAGGTACCCGTGCAAACATAGCATCAGATTAATTAAACAAAACATACAGCGGTCGGTAGAAAATTATTTTCCCTGCAATTGTTGCAGTCTGGTTCCATCTCAGTCCGCAATTTCGATGTCCAGGTGATACGAGTATATATTATTGTATCACTGTCATATGACATTTTTTTTCTGGCTCTTTCTCGTCCGCAACAAACATTTACTTCATTTTGTTGCTTTCTTTTAGGTTATTTTTTAAAGTAGCTGCTAGTTGGTTAAATCATTTTCTTAGGAATCCCTTTAAATTTTAGCCGTATATAGATAGATAAGGAATAGAAATATTATTCACACGTCTGTAAAATTAACAAAGTTAACAAACGACTACTGACTATTCGCAACTAAAGATGACATTTTTTGTACTCTTTGAGGTTAGTGTCCTATTTTTAACTTCTATTTTTAATTTCTTCTAAACTACATTTAGGATTTTAATGAAAAATTACTAAAATATTAGACTAATATAGAGACATACAAAAATTTTAGAATTAGTGACCATTTTATTTTGAAAATACATAGGAAATTTACAATTTGTAGTAATACCGTAAATATGTACATATTAATATATTTAAATATTAATATATCACCTTCTATTATGTGCGCATCTCCATTAGCTCAATTGATGTATAAATGAAGCATTAATAAGAAAAATAAAAAATAAACAATATCTCGGTGTTTGTAATATTGTGCATATACATATTTATCTTCATTTCGTTTTAAATTAACATTTATTACTTAAATAGTTAAATAAAGTTATAGAGAAATGTTCTTTTAATTACCACTACGAAGAGGCCTAATTATGTTTTTAATGTTACCACTGAAAATCCGACATTACGAATCAACTATTTTGCATTTCGTATTTATTCTTTTCGTTATATCACAATAGTGTAATATCGCGATAGTGTCATTTGAGAAAAGTTGAGAATTCCATTACGTCGAGGAGAGTATGGATCAATAACACGCCTGGAAACAATATTTGCTGAAATTCGTGGATAACATACGATCATGGTTGCCATTGAATACTCGAATGTGAATAAAGTTGAAAATATCGATTACATTCAAAGACATAATGTTTCTTTGCTCGTAATAATGAGATGTGAGTGAATAAAGCAACAGTGTTACAGGATCAACCATTCTAATTATGAAACATTGATTGAGGATATCAAGAGCATTAGGGGAAGGAAGGGAGGGAAGAAAGGGAAAAAACTTCTCAATTTTATTGTTGTCAGGCAAATATTTGTATATATTGATTCCATTATGTATTGATGAAGACAGTTAATAAAATTTCTGGAACACGATGTGTATGAAGAATCTATATTCTAAATTGTTAATTTATTTCTCCGTAGATCTTCAACTTTTCGTGAATATATTTTACAATATTTCTAAGATAAGCAGATCATAACGTCGGAAATTAATTGGTTTATTAATATAAAGATCATAAATTCAACTGGAAGCAGTTGAAAAAGGATGAAAGTGAAATCACACTTCGTAGTTACGTATTCATTACTCTTGATTATAACCCGTCACCATAGCAGCAATGGCTATATAAGGATTTGCGTTTAGCATCCCCAAAGCCACAAGAGATCCTTACATTCGTGCTAATTGGTTTGCGTGATCACTGATTTACTTCCAGTTCTCTTCCTTCTGTGCCACACTTCGTTATCGATACTTGAATTAATTAAGCAATTATTTACTACAATGTGTGTGAAAAGATGTATATATATACACATACATATATATGAAGATTAAAATATCCGAGCATCTGGTATCGAGTATCGAATATGTGGTTCTATAAAACTTACTCATCAGTATCGTCTCTGGCATACAGAGCTAATGTTCGCCATAACTCTTTTGGACCTTCAATTGCAAGGGGGAAGTTCTGCCAGGACCATGAGTCTTGCGCTGATAACAAAAATAATACGTCGTAGGATTATCTTGCCAGACATGCGAAGAGATATATCAATGGATTTAATACACACACCTTTCGAGGAGTAATCGATTCGCCTTTTCGTCAAATCAGAATAAGCCTCCTGCTCATTTTGCAGCGGTAGAGGATCGTTTGACTTGAAATGCGTAAATCAAACATTATGTAACACGATCATTGAACGAAGGCTGATATAGATCGACAGTATGAGGAAGAAATTATTTTGTAAAAATTGGATGAATTCTAATAATCAGATACCTGACTATTTCTTCCAATTCGAGGAATATGCTTCTCGGCTTTGTAAAAAAAGTCCTCAAACTTGCCGCTTCGTCCTACCCGCGGTACGGTAGGTATTTTTGCGATTTTGAGAAAAAACGCTGGTACTTCGTCCGCCTTTGCGATATTTTGATAGATCAATAATGTGGTCACTCCAGCGAGAAAAGCTAAATAAACATTGCGGAAAATGTAACATTATTTATCTGGAAATTTCAATTGGAGTGAAGTATCAACCCCTTGCGTTGAGATTTAATTGGCAGACTCGTAGAATGTAAAGGTTTACTTAAGTTCACACTTGGAACTAAGGTACACATTGTAATTCTATTTATACGTACTTTACACAATCTCGTAGAATGCTTTCAAAGCATTCGTTGTTGAACATTTCGCTACTTAAAATAATGAAATTAGGTCGAGTTTTTAATCAGCAACGTGCACATTCCGCTCGCGAAAGCACAACATTCAGAATATGTTACCTCCACGCAAGAAGTTAATTCTTCAATTAACATAAGCACGCGTTTTTTCAATAAATTTATTACGAATACTTTACAAGGAAATAAAGGAGTGACGCCACAATTGGCTTACCGTTAAAGAAAACACCTCTGATCTGCCCGGAATGACTCCTTCTCAGCATCATCATCTCGAGAAGATCGTAGCACCTGCAATGAATGAAACGCAAGTGAGTCTTCGAGAGCAACCCTTCGCCCGATAGCTCGTCAGCGAGCGATTACGCGCCTCAGACACAAGCGTGACAATTATTGCGGCGTATGAGGAACTGCCGATCGCGACGTAGCATTCTCGATGATCCGTGAGTGACTGCCGAAGATTCCGAGCGGCTCCCGCGGGAAAGATGCGCGTCTCGCGGGCGTTCGGCGAACACTGAGCGATTTTTCGCGTACGGCTTCTTCCATTACCGCGAAGAGCGGACGAAGAGTGCTCCGAGGATTGTGGGCGAAGGAGAATCGACGAGGAGTTTGCACGTCGGGAAACCCCATCGCATTTGAATTCTGCCGGTTGTTTGTACTCTCGCGTTCTCCCCCGCGCCGAACACGCGCGAGAATATTCAACCGGGAACTCGCATACGGATAAAATGCATTCTATAGAATGCCTGAGTCGTAGGAAATAAAGGGGATGTTTGATGTGTCGCGATGTATTCGGCCATCGCGTGGATAAGAGTAAATACGGGATTTCCAAAATAACCAACGTGCGATCGATAATGCCGATTCTGGAGCGAAACATCGGGAAACTTCCGCGTAGGCGCAAATTTAATCTTACTTACAGAATCGCGATGTGAAACTATCGTTTTACGTGAGCTTTGATCGGCACCGGCTATGTACCGGCTTCGTATTTATGTTTTATATCTCCGAGGACATCGTTCGTAGAATAAAGTAAATAGATAAATATAATTAGTATATTCAATAAATTATCATTTTGATATAAACGATCGTTACAATTGAAATATATGATCTCGGTTGTGTTGGTTACAAATCGCGAGTAGAAGTTAGTTTTCAAACGCGGCCAATATTTTCTTAAAATGTCATGGGAAGCATATTTCTTATTCAGATATGAGAATGGCATTTGCCTTTCTTCCTTGAAATGTAGAAAGTATTGGTTATTCTAATTTTATGTCGTAGAGATGTGAGAAACTTGAGAAGTGCACATTTTTTTTAAGTATTGAGAAAATAGATCAATTCTGATTACTGTATTAGTAGATAATATCGCTTACCTGAAGTTAACTTGGACGTACTGAGTTTAACGTAATCAAACTCCCCATATTTATATCGAATTAAAGAGGAATTAAATATTTTGCTCATGTGCGCTTTGTGAATTAACACGGACTCCCCTATAGTATAGAGAATAAATGGCTCCGTCGATTTTTATCAGCGGGAGAACTATTGTCCTCTAGTCGTCTGAATATTTGACAATTTCTTATTACTGCGCACGAAAGAATATTTGATTCTGCATTTCTCGCATATCGTGCGTTTCTAAGATATTACAGAACTCGATCTGCCATTAAACACAATTACAATAATCATTATTATATTTGGAAATAAACTGTAATAATTGTTTTAATGCGGAACACCTTCTTTAAAACATATAAATTTTGTCGTAGTTAAACTTTTTAGTAAGTAAAATAGTAATATATAAATAATAAATATTTTATAGCCGCTTATAAATCAGGTAGGTCAAATATGTGTCAATACTTTTACAGTTGATCCACTATAAACACATGTGAACGTTCTTTCTTGATCCGAAACAATAGATTGTAACCCTTATCCCAGTAAGTGGAAAGAGGCAACGTGCTTTCCATGTTAAATCGTTCTCGATCTACATTTCAGGATGTCGACCTTTGGACAGAGTTCCAATGAATTCGTAAAATTGATCAATTACAGCAAAATCAATATCCTATCCAGTTAACGGAAACTGAGCATATTTTATTATTCCTATTATCTGATTTTGACCGGCGATTATTTCATAACGTAATTATTGAGAAATAGTAGCTACATTATTGTTCAACGGACTAACGTAAAATTACATTGGGCAGTATTCCCTGTCAACGCATTATATGTTTAATTAAAATAAGATGGAGAGAAGATCAAAGGTGGAAAATAATTTAAGTAGTGCAAATTAGCTCCTCAAATCATGGTGTTTTATTCGTGACGCTTGCAATAAACATATCATAAAAGCTTAAATAGTCGCAATTACACAACATCGTTTTGATAAATATAAATTTATGATTAGATATGTAACGTAATGCAGCAACGATTACTTTGCAGGAGACAACGTGATGAACTTTAAGCACATGTTTAGGGGTCTTTACAGGAGTTCTCTCAGTTGATTATATCGTTTCATGAATTGATCAGTCGGTGAGGTCGTGAAACATCTGGGTCGGAGTTTTATCTTCAGTTGGACTCTTGCCGAAGTAGCCAAGCGGTGCACGTTTCGCTGGCAACTTCACAAATGGTTGACAGAGAGCGGCTGGTAACATCATAATCTGAAAATATCAAGTTAAATAATTAGTATTTTTATTTTCCAGAAGCAACGAAATATAAAGTAACAGAAGATCGTGTACCTGGCTTTATTCAACAAGATTTTATAAATATTAATATTTTTAAGTAAAGGAATATTTCAAGAACGCTACAAAATATTAGATAATTATTATTTTTCGTAATTTTTCAAAAGATTATGTAACGTATAAAATAAAGAATTAAAGGTGAGATATAAATCCAGTGCAACTTAAACAGTTTTTATCAAATAATATAGTGTACAAATATGCTCAGTCGATATTTTTAAATAGGTGTATCCGACAGATGGAGTTGACTTTACAATCAAGTAAAATTGCGCAAGCTAAGACAAGTATCAAAATTAACATTTATATTGCGAAATGTAAATTTTATAAAAGTTCTTCATTAATTAGTGCTTACCAGTTACAGTGCTGGATCGTTTGCCGAATATACTGCCGTTGAAGGGTGGTTTTCTAAAGGCAGCGTCTACGCTGAGGGCAAGGATCACCATGATGACGGCAAGGGCGAGGGCGAGACGAGTAGAGACCATATTGACGATTTGATTTGTCTCCAACTAAAACAATAAACACATTATTCGTTAGCAGTTGTTAATTGTAATTTTCTTTTGCAATCGTGATCACACTCCGTTCGTCATGTTAAAAACAATCATTATTATATGTTGTGAATATTCTCTGGAACTAATTGATAAATTTTAAAAAGAATTGCGGCGAATAGGTTTCCGCACAAAACGAGAAAGCTTACTTACGAGCGAACGAGAGAAACACTGGCTGATTCTTAGATGATCGTCGGCTACCGAATGTTGCAAACAGCGTAAAAGCTGCGAGCTTTTATACTGGAGAGAACGGTCGAAAGACAAATGTCTCTATCAAACGCAGTCGACCTACATTATTTGCATGTGAGTTCGCCCAACGAGATATTGATTCGTTGAGAAATATCAAAATTTGTAATATCCAACAGTGACCAGCTTGCTCGATTTATATTCTGTACGTTGCGTGCAGATACCTCGAGAAAAGTTTTTACGAAATTGTGAAGATATTACAATCGAAAATATTTGTGTCACGGCGTCTTATAGCTAAACTATATTCAACAAAAATTAAGCCCTTCTACAGAACTGGAAAATTTTAAAATCACCGGTTATTACAATTATAAATAAACTATAAGAGATGTTTTTACCTGTTGGAGTGAGCTGTACCTGAGAGATGGTTGGAACTCGACTGATGCCTCTCCAACGTTGGATCTGCTTTTATAGAGGGATGTTTGCGCTATGGGAGTTGAAGTGTGATATTGCAACGTAAAAAAGAGATAATAAGCTATCAAAGAGCGTAATGAAATTGAGGGCTTCCCGATTGCCTTTTACTTCAGGGAAATAAAAACTGCTTCGTTCGTGTCTAATAGACCATATATCGAAAATCGTAACAGAACTGATTACTGTATAATATAGATAGAACTAATTACCGCTTAATATTCATTTAAAACTGCTCTTTCTTAGAAAATTATGTTAAGCAAATCAAAATCAATTTAAAATTCGCCATTTTACTATGACAATAAAAGTACAAAGAATATTAGTGCTTAAATAATCTATCCATTGCAATATAACGATATCACTCTATAAATTATAAATTGTTGCATACGGAAATGTTTATTAAGATATTTAATTTTATATAGGAAGAACAAAGGTACAAGATTAGTTAGAAAATTATTGTTTGATTCCAGTACTAGTAGTCAATAACGGTAAAGTAATGAAACAAAAATAATTACCAGCTCTAGCATCAGATAAATAATTGTTTTCTGATTGTTAAACCTTCAACAATATAACCAACAAATAATATGAATAACATATAACTACAGTTGGTACATATTTTTTTAGACACACATTATCATCGGTTGGTAAAAAGAATCACTATATTCTCGACAAATGATATATCTTGTATTTTATCTTAGGATAAATAAAACATTACTAATTGCGTTATCAAGAGATCCGTAGTAGCATTTTGCACCAAATATATATATTCTTATCATTATCCATACATATTGATTTTTTAGATGAAAGATTACCTTACAGTAATAGTGAATGGTATGAAACATAATTAGAATTCTTTCAGCATTTTTATTCCAACAATCACACATTATATCACTGTATGACAAAGCACAAGTGTACATTAAACATTCTCATTATATGTACATAATTTACAATCATGCCGTACAGTATAAATATAATTGGGAGATCAAATGTAGCTGAACTGCTTGCACAAGTATAAGATATGTTATCGAAGAACTTTTTAATTCTTTTATTATTTTTCGTCTGTCGAACTTTTAGGATAATAAAATCTTGCTTACATTATTATATTGCATGTGTATTGGTAACTGTTAAAAATCGTTATTGAATACATAAATACGAAAAAATTGTTATTCCTGGTTTCATCTTTCTTATATGTTATATGTAAGACGCGTATAATATATAAATATTTACAGGTTATATGTAATTACATCTACCGCCTAGATAATGGATTATTATAACCGATTCCTCATCATGCTCTCGATAATTGGTCGATTCTATATATTTATTACATATTACATATATTGTATGGATGTTTTCCTTTTTTTCTGATACTGGGTTTATTTCATATTAAATATTAAATACATTATACACAGTTGCGGTATTTTTCTCAGGCACTCAATGAGTAACTCTTTGTTTAATCACTGTTGTGTCTAAAAGTTCACAGATAATAAACAAAGAAAGAATGTAGGTGTCGATCGATAACCGAGAGCACAGTAAGATCGAAAATGCATCACATAGGCATACTAGATCTACCTCTTATTGTCGCGTCACAACTTTTCTTTTTAATCGGCGATAACGAACGTGCCGACTACCCATCGTACGATCGACATCACTTTCTGCGACCGATAGCTTTTCGATCGGAAGCAATCAATGACGATCGATGACGTGTTGGCCGGCCTCCATGCCAAGACTTATCGCATTAAACAACAAGTAACTATTTGTGTGTGTTTTATCAATCTATTTATCGTTTAAGTAATATCGCGTAAAATGGTTACTTCCGCCAAAGTAACAAATCGACTACAAAATGGAAGACATGGATTTTGTCTTGTCGCTTAATCACTTAATATCCCTAATGTTGTCGTGTAAAAGCTATCGGTTGCTAAGTAAATTACACCCGGCGCATGAATGCACACATTGCATATCATGCGCGCATACAAATAGAATTTATTGCATAATACACATATCACACATCGATGTCCTGTTCACACGTCGCAATTTCTTCGACCGGAGTCTTATTCAACGACCAACATTTAATCAACATATAGGCAAAGTAATAAATTCGCCTCAACAGGAAAAGTCACAATTGTGTACATAATCAACAAATTTGTGCGGAATAACTCTTTAGTCATACCATACTTTGTTGCTGGCTGTAATTATCTATTGCAAAATATATATTTTTAAAAAAAGAGAGAAAATACATAAAATATACAATTATATAAAGAGACTTCTGTTAAAATCGTTTCTCTCTTACGTACAATGCAGCGAAGTTTATTGTGTAATGTTTCGAAGCGTTAATTATATCCGGTACTATGTGTGATTAGAGAGCGTCAAAAGATACAAATAAGACATGTTTTATTACACGTAGGTTACGATTAGGTACGTCTCGTTGTGTGTGGTCGCGTTTCTGGAGAAACACGTGTTATCTGAAATAAGCTTAAGCTCTGTCTGAGTTGATAACGACAGAAATCTCATTATTGCAAGATAAACATTCCTTTTTATCGAGGCAAAGTATAACGCGAATCGTATGAACCGGACCTTGTGTAGAATTCTTAAGCCTAAAAAGGTTACATCAATGTTATATGTGTTAAGCGAAATTTCTTATAATTTCTATTACAATCATTAACTTAACGTCCCACAATTGCGTTTCATGTGCTTTAACACGTCGGGCATCGACGAAAAATTTTTTAGAACTTTTCATATTAAAAATTTTTTATATTATAGAGCAAATATATATATATATATATATATATATATATATATTCTATATTCCAAATTTATATCCAAAATTAATCGTACGCAAGTACGTAAAGTAATAATACAAAGACATATATAAAATCTAGAAAAGTACAAATCGTTCTTCTCTTACAACGGAAAAAGCAATCTATAATATGCCGCAATCCGACGTTTCTTGTCTCTGTGTAGTGAGTTATCGAATTTTTTTCAATGCACATAGAGCGCGAAGTGCTTAAGAAATTTCCGAAGAATAATCTATTATACTGTTTCGCTTAAGAGAAATACTGCTACGCGTTAGAAGACAGTGAACTACCAGGAGAGGAGTCGCGACAGTTGAAATCATTGAAATCGAAAGGGTATCGTACATGCTCCAGCTTAGAGCGTCTCTCTCTCTCTTACAATTCTCCCTGATTATGTCGAAAGTCACTTAGCCTAACGTGCCCTGATCGGGTCGATTAACCTACAGGATATGTGAATTCGTGCCCTCCCATGCCTTCCCGTTACCTCTTCCTCGACGTATCACGGTGTGAGGTAAGCATCACGGTACGATGTCACATCTGCATGCGTCACCGCCTTGGCCGCTGTTGCACTGCTCCATGCACCATAGCTCCCAGTCAACGTTATCGTCGTCCTCGTCCAGGGAGTCTGACGCCGCGGTGTTGTCCGTCCGGTCACCACCCTGCGGACGTACCCTGCCGTGACCGTAGCCGTTGTCCACCGGAGGCTGCTCGAGAACGTGTCGCCTCGGTTTCTCGTTCTCCGCATCGTGCGCCAGACGACCTCCGGATTCGCGATCGTCCACGATCAGATCGTACCCTTCAGCATCGGCGTCTTCGCGGAGCAACGCCGCGTGGAGCGCGGATATCACGAGTTCTCCGAGGGGTGAAGAGAAGGCGACGTCCTCCGCCAGCTCGTTCACCAACGAACGGATCTTCACGTTGGTGGGCATAACGGGCGTCGACCGGCAACGGCATCCTCGATAGGCGCCGAAGAACGATCTCAGAGCGAAACAGCTATCCCGGACGGAGGACTGCAGCTGGCGATCGCATAGCTTCAGACAGTGGCTGACGATAATCCGCGCCAGGTCCAGGACGGAGCCGGACTGGGCTCCCCGGAGTTCGCAGACTCCCTCGGGAGACGATCTCGCTCTGGGGTGGCAGAGCAAGACGCATGCGTCGTCGACGAGAGGGATGCTCGCGGCGCAGCCCACCAACGCCAACAGGAACACCCACCGGAGCGGAGGCGTCATCTGAAAGTGATGGCTAATCAATACCTGAAGTGGATGTGGAACTCCACGTTCCGATGCCAGCCGCCAGTCGGGAGGGGCACACGTACGGCCAAGGAGGAATTCCTGGAGTCCAACCGCTCCCGAGTATATGCGAGGGAGCCGGATTTCCTAGCCGTTGCGTGAGATGAACGAGGATGGAGACACGTAGAACAGTCTCGTTGTGGGATTCTAGATGATGTAATTAACGCCCGCCGCGATGGACGTCACGTGTATTGATGAACATCGGGCTTTACTGTTGAATTGTTTTGCGGGTTTCATGCTGATCTTGAAAATGGCCGAAGGATATGTGCGTTCTGCCGAAACGTGGATATAAATATGTCTTGGAGTTACAGAACGCACCTCTATTGTTTGCGGAGAGAATAATCACGAGGATTTACACAACGTCGCTCACAAGAACTACTACCATGTGAATAAATCAATAATAAAGATGGCTGAGATTTTTTAACTAATAATTATGGTAATACTGATTATTTGTATGTATAGCTACTGAAGACAATTAATATATACATAGTAAACTATATATATGCAATAATTTCATAACTATATTTTATCTTACAAATCAGGTTATGAAAGTGTGATGAATGAAATGTTTCCGGAAATATTTGGAATATTCGAAATATTCACAGTCACTTTGTATATATTTGATACGGTTAAAGACTATTTTCTTATTTTGCACTGTTATAAATAACATGAATTTTTGCCCCTTTCTTCACTTTTTGCGAATGTCAAGAAAGACGAGACAGATTGAAGAGCTCGAACTCACCTTTATTTAAATATAATATTTACAATAATAACACGTGTCAATTCAGTTGGATTCAATCGCGCTAAATCAAGCGAGACACTTGCAGCTTTGTAATGCGCGTTGCCGACTGAACTGCTTGATCATCGATAATTCGCATCGCATTAAAGCTCTATCAATCAGCACAGTTTAGTCATATACAACCCACGCCTTGAGATTACGACAGATGATAACATTTTCAAACAATCTATATCTTCGCTAATCTGTAAGAAATAATAACTCAGTAGCCTATCTGTGAAGATACTATACGTCATATTTATATGTTTCATCATCCATAATATGTCCATATTGCGCACATAATTATATAGGAATAAGCAACAAAGTAACTTTGGATGAATATATCCGATATTATACATTAGAAAGAAAACATCTCTTTGTTTTAAATTTCCTAATAGTGATATTAATTCCGCCATATGTAAGAGATATAACATATATTGCGCGTTTAAATGAAATAATTAACTTTTCAACATCTGTGCTATAAAGATCATAATTCGATTGAATGTTCATGGAGCGCTTGATTTCGAGAAAAGATTAGATAAAAAAGATTATAACCTAATAGATAAGCGCACGAATAGATTAAAAGGAAGGATTTAAGAGGACGAGCAACGTACCAGTGGCATATGAATCAGTCACAATTTCATATCGGTCTTTCGCTCAGTCATCATTTTTATCCAGGAAACTTTCGATTCTCTTCTGTCAGTTACGCAATTTTCACGATAATAGCTATTTCAGCCAAATAGAATTAGGTTATTTATCACAGATGAGCGGATAAATATTTTTCAAAGTGGCGGAAATTCTACAAAGGGAGTGATAAAGGATATTCTTTTAACTTCACGGGCAAAGTGAAGTTGAAAGACATTGCATTATCGATAAGATGGTGGCGACACAATATCGTACAGGATTTATTTATTACTTATTGGATCAATGGAATGTCGATATCAACACAAATCCAGGCAGAAAGTAGATATAAATCAATGAAAGACATGTGGCATTTGCACTCGAATCGCACATGCCGATTATAAATCTGGTAAAAAGATTGTCTAACTGTACACGCACAAATCTTTGATTTAAGATATTGTAAATTATATTCTGCTTCAAACTATGTGAATAATGTGAACGTAAGTTGATATATCTATCAATTATCTACAAACGACATGATTTATAATAGTGATATTCAAAGATTTACATATGCGGTATGGTTGGAGAAATGTAAGATGGATTAAAAGAAGTCGATGGCAATTCATTACAATATAAGTGCTTAACTTTTGAAGCTGAATAAAGCTTGATACTTACAGAAATAGCCGATGATTAATCGTCGAATAAGTGAGTACTGCAACGTATTTCCTAAGATTTGGTAATAATGCTTATCATTCATCTTTTTCTGCATTAAATAAGGTACTTTGTGTATATTGCAGTTTGGAAAAAAGAGAGGTAAGCAAAGAAATAGCGCAGCAAACGTATATATGCTGTGTTTTAAACGACGATATATATTTAAATGGCAAATCCCTTTCCGAACGTTGCACGGGACGTCAGTTCAATTTAAAGTTTCCCGAAAGATTTGCGATGAAGAACGAGAAGTTTGTCAGCTTCTTCGTGACGAGGCTACCCTTCTTCGGAGGATGGGAGGTAGATGCGGGATCGATGCTATCTGACCGTGGTTCCATTAAATCGACCTCTCTCTCTTCCCCCCCCCCTCTCTGTCGGCTACAGTAAAATAACTTGAACCCCCTCTTAAAACAGTCACTTCAAGCTGGTAGTTGTTGTTCACGAAAACTTAGTGCTAAAGCTTTTCAACGATAATGCCTTCTTGTTAATATTGCTACTTACATACGAAGTACAAGTTCTAAAGAATCTTTTTTCTTCCAGTACAGAAAATCTCGGTTGAGTTCTAAGTGGATCGTTATAAATCATTGTAAATTATTATATTATACTATATGTTGTGATAACAGATGCATAAGAGAAGGTTAAAAAAGGTCAGAGAGCTACTTTCGAATGAGCAATCAATGAACCACGAATAGCTCATATCTACAATGATGTATGAAACTTTTGCTAATTTATATAAAATGATAAAAATATAAATATAAATATCCTGGTTATCTGATATTACCAATATCATATTTTCTTGAGCAATTTGAAGCAGTAACCCAGGATCATGATTTATTCAGAAGAACATACGGTGCGTCTTGAAAAGGAAAAAATTAAATTTATATGTGCACATAAAAATATATAGTTATTATAGTTATTATGGAAGTTATATATACTAGTTGTGCCAATTTCAAATATCTGGATATCTTGGGTACTACTCGAATACCTGAGCCTTTTGGATATTATCGGATAATATCTATGAATTTTAATTAATGGTATTAATTTCAAATATCATAATTTCTGTATGCTATCCGAGTATCCGATTTTTCCGGATATTGCCTGGGTTCTTGGGTAATATTCGCAGGTTTGGATTAGTGGTATCAATATTAGGTATTTTTCGAGGAATTTTTCGATCAATATTAGGTATATTACCTGGTTATCTAAATAGTATACGTGAGTTTGGATACCCAGGTTATACCAATATAATACTAATTACATGAAGTACTCAATTAGGAAATAGCCATAGTTCCGAAATAAAGACGTATCGGTATATCATTTTATGAAATTCACCGTATATTTCATATTTTCTACAATACAAAGATACTTTATAATAGTGACCTGTTTTCTGGTAAAGATTTCTGACATCAGTCAGAAATGGTCTCTTCTCGTGAAATATTGAATGCAGCGTACAACGAATTCAATAACTTCTCGTGCATTACATCGAATGTGGCCACGTGGAGGATTTACGTTCCTACATAAGACGCAAGATATATTGACCTCAATGAGACGAGTATGTGCGTACACTTCGGTATTTCTAGTTACGTTCCTGGCCCTTTCTGGGTCTTGCCCTGTCCTCCACCCACAACGAAGGACGGAGGAAGGTATTGATTAAATTCACCGACGGCCATTTTGTCCCGGCACCCTATTGGTTGCCGTCCATTTTGTCCTTCCCATCCCCTTGGTCCATGTAACCACCGTTTCTTCCTCTTCCAATATCGCCGTCCCTGTTTACCTACCTGTTCGCGTTCTTCGCCCCCGATCAACCTTAGCTAGAGGAAGACGACGCAGGCGTCGCGACATTTTCCACGGAAGAAATCGGACAATCAGCAATTCGATTTTTCCACGGTAGCTCGTTGCGCACCCTAATGAGTGCCCGGTTCTTGTTCTAAATGTGCGAACTGAAAGTTTACCATTTTAATAACGTTCTCCAATCCGTTAGATCGATGACGTGCTAATCACTCTATATTTTAGACTTACTCTGTTATATATAAAATTTATGTACATACACTGAAGAGCTTAAAGTGCTATTATAAAGTATAATGATGATGAATCCTTCTTCAAAAGGACACTCATTATATTCATCATTTTGTACAGAACTACAACGTAATCGTCAATACAATTATTTATCCTTGATGATCAATATTCTTAAAACTTATCACAATCCAGCATATGGTTGGTAATTATATATACAATATGTTCCATATAGCTAATATTTCGCCAGGAGTCTGCAGGTACAAAACCTCAAAAGGCATGTAGTATAACTATGATACGTCTGTTGGGATACGTACGCCTTGAAATTTATGGACAGCGACGTCCCATTCTTCAGAACCGTCTCGAATCTCAATCTCTCTCTCTCTCTCTCTCTCTCTCTCTCTCTCTCTCTCTCTTTCTCCGCATTTCCGCGCATCGCCGACGCCGAGAGCACGAAATTCTCGTTTCCCGACTACTATGAGACTCTTCCCATCTCGACCGCCGTCTGAGCTAGCAAACGAAATATAAACGCACAAGTGTCGGTAGCGAATACATCCGTCGCGAGAACCGCACGCGGCTAGGATAAACAAAAAAAAAAAGCCCCGGAAACAAACAAAAAAACAAGCAAGAAGAGAAATTGGCATGCTTGCTCTCTTCCACTCTCTTTTTCCCTCTGACGTCAAAAGTGACGTTCGCACCGGGATTGGTGGTACAGCGGCACGCCCTGTTATCCACCACCACGTTTCACCCTCCGACTCCTACCAGTCGCGACCAGACACGACCACGCCTACGTAAAAGCACCCCCGGTTGGAGAGGGTGGCTGCGTAGGTTGTGCAAGACGAAACTGGGTCAGGCAGACTCGAGGCAGGTCGAGTCAGGCCGAGACTCGAGAGTCGTCCAGGCGTTTTCGGCACGAAGCAGTCCCTTGGAAACCACCCCGAAGCCCATCGTCGTTTCGCCACTTCGTCGGTATTCCACCCTTAAAAGTCCACGCTCGCGCCAAAGCGACAGCAAACCCGTTGAAATCGTGAAGTCGAAGCACCAAGCGGTCGCGAAGAAAACCCGAAGGAGCCAGTAGACGGGATTAAGTGAGTACGGTGAAACTTGTATCATTAGGTAGTTTATTTCTCTTCCGTTATACTCAAACACCATATCTTTCTGTATGTTTTTCGATAAAACTCGTGATTCATATATTGCTAGATTTGAGCTGAAAGATGTCGGATAGATCGGGTAGCAGTCGAAGAATAAATGCGGTCAAAATGAGAGTTGATCAGTTGGTAGTAAAGTCGGGACATGCGTTCAAAACTTTTATAGAAATTCATTTAATGATAAGAGTAACAAGAAAATAGGAGCTACACAGTTGCAAGCTCGAAATACTGAAGCGTGCAAAGCGTGCAATTAAATATCGTTTTACTATATGATTCTTATAAGGGAAAAACGATCAAAGTTGAAACCCTCAATGTTTAAGGCCGACCTCGTGATTTTCATTTTTTTTCTAGCATGATGATCAGCCCAAAGCTATATATCGTTATAAAAATAGTTTAGAGCCTTAGCTGATTTCATTATATTTGCCATATTAGCAGCTTCTAACATCGCAAACTTTTTGCCTAAATTTAAGTCATATTTTAAAAATTCTCAATACTCATCTACTTGACATACTTCATAGAATGGCGCAGTGAAATCATTTCTTTCTAAATGTAACAATTGTTATCCTTCATCTCTGGAACAAACTGGAAAAAATTGTTATCATTATGAGAATTCTCTTGGGATCAGGAAAAGTGAAGACTGAATCGGCTTCAGAATCATCGAAAATGGAAAAATGTCGAATATAATTTGATGTAAAAACCATTTTTATTTGTGAAAATTTAACCCTTTCGATACGAAGGATGTAAGCACCCGTCGCTAAGCACTTGAATCTGAAGAGTGACTTATGATCACGTTCGTTGAATTCAAAGAGCGACTACAATCACCTGCTGCTAAATATTTGTTGAATCCGAGGAGTAACCCTAATTGACAGCAGATCCTTAAAAAATGCGCGAAATCGATTCTCGAGCTGAGCTGTACTGAACGTACCGCTACGTTCGGCCAGAAAGTTTTTTGGATGGATGCTGCCGTACCGAAAGGATTAAAATAGGTACCCGGAGAAAGATCTGAACGAAAAGTGAAATATTATTGTTAATAATCTCGCACATTGTAAGTCAAAATTCTACTTAACTACAAAAGGAATCCACTAACTCCTTTGTTCCCGTTATTGAATTCTCCCAGATCTCGACATAAATTATCTATATAAAATATGTGCTCAATTCCAAAATCTAAGAAGCTTCGACGCATTGATCCGAGAAACAAAATATTACATAAGAATATATCTCAACGCTCGATTTGCAAATACTTTTCTTTCGAATGCATTTATTGAACGTGCATGTTTTTCATAGATATTCTAATCTCTCTTTCATATTTTATTCTATTGCACGTTCTAATGCTGTGTAAAATAATCCGTGGATATCTTAGATTTTCTCCGGTTTATACTTCTCGTGCTCCCAGAACCGCTCAATTGGCTCAGAGAGCAAGATCTGACTTCTTGATATTCATAAGAATGTTATTTCGATTAACATAGAAATTAACGAGTCCCATCTTCGGTTAGTATATTTTATTAAGAAAGAGAAATCAAATAATCATGAACTGTGATTATATCTCTCTTGGAACTTGCGGTATACCTTATAATTTAGTCGCGACAGCGTTAACACGTTCCCTGCCGGACCGTTTTTATGCGACTTTCAATTCGTCGCGTGTAGCAAAAACTGTATACATTGTGGAACTTGATAAATACGTTATAATTACTTTGTTTACGGTTTTTGTGAATTGGAAAGTTATCTATTATAAAAGTAAATATTCAAAATATAAAATGCTCAGTGGAACAAAACAAATAAGTTTATTTCGAAAAATTGAAGAGCAATAAACAAGATATCGAATAAAACAGAATACATTAAAGAAACCATAGTTTATTATGAAACAAATAAAATAGAACTTTTCGAGCGTTTTGCGTAATTTTTGCGTTCATAATCGAATTAAATGATATATTTTATTGAAAAAATCTATATATAGATACGATTTGTTGAGGAAGTCTTCATAAAATGTTATTATTCGTTTTGTTTTAACTCTAACATTTTTCGTACCCAAGTTTCTAGCATTTTTGTTACAATAAGAAGTGCAACGGTGTCTTGGTGCCGGTTTGTTTCTAAATACAATCATAAAAACTGAAAACTCATTACCATATCTTACGGAAATCAGCTAATGGCTTGAAAAATATTGCAAACATGATAACAGAATACTCTTAATGAGAAAAATATCAGTTAGCGTAGAGGTCGAGTTCAGAGCGCACCGAAAACGGAAGGGAACGTGTTAGAGTTTTACGTTTGTAGAATTACTAAAGAGAAAAACGACGAACTGCTCTCTGTCCATGTTTCTTCGGTCGCTCGGCCTATCGTGCTACCACGGCGGTATATTAACGCTTAACAATTTCGCAATCCCGCTGTAACTCGCCGAGGATCGGCGTCGCAGTACGTCGTGACTGAAGCGGAACCTGTTGTTGACTGTTGTAGGGACTGTTGAGGCGAGGGACACAAGCAGAGACATGGACAATGTGCAAATGATCGGCACTAAAATAACAGCAATCAAGGAATACTTATATGTAAGGCATCCGCATTGCACGTCATTTCATCACGTCTGTCCATTTAGTGATCCTTAGGCCGATGCAGTTAGTTTCTTAACGCCCCCAGCAAGCGATAATCGTTATTCACTATGATAATTGATACGGCTAGCTTATATGCAGGTGAAACAGAACGATCGTACTTTGGTTCACACTGATGTTTTTAGCGAAAGTTACTTTTGTCCCGTATATTATTTACTGCTGCAAGGTTCGGTCTAACTGATGTCAATGTTACGTAAGCGTGCGAGGTGCAACTTAAAGAGATAGAATCCTCTTGCTTTGGATTTCAGAATTTCGCACGAACGCATTCACCCACCAGACTAATGAGCTCCGAAAACACCTACTCGCTCTCCAAGGAGCATTGCAACCTCAAGTATTCGGGTGAGTGATCGTAAAAACGCTTTTACGAGAGTATCGTCGAGCTTTAGCTGATTTTTATTAGAACATTGCATGATTTTGAGACATGAAAATAAACGTTACGCAGATTTGCCTAATAATAAACGAGTGTCGCATGAATATCTGTTACGGAAACGAAAGATTCACTATAGAGCAACAGCTGTCGCTGTATAGCGCGCCTGTCTTTAATGTTTCAAGTTTATTTCGATGTTTATTCGAAGGTATGTTTCTTCAGTATATTTCTTCTAAATCTATCGGCTTTAGTCTTCGTGTGATACCGAAGCCTCGCGATCAATAACAAACAAGAAACAAAGAAGGAGCTAAAGGAATACAACGTTAATAGACTATTCGAATCAGCTAGGTAAGAACTGAAATCGAACGTTAGGTTTAGAGTTTAGAATTTACCGCTGTAACTTATTTGTCTCGTTCCGAGTTTTGCACTATTCTCTCAGCGTGAAATTTCGACTTCGGGACATCGAATCGGTCCAACATTGCTGTCGGTTATATCACGTAAAATTGTTGATTATAATTGTTCACTGTGATTAATTAATTTCTCTTCGTGGCGACGCTTTTGAACGTCGCGACTGCTGGAATCCTTCGTCAAACAATATCGCTTTATCTCTTTCTAAATCTTCTACGATCTACATAACTTGATAAATTAATAATACCATCGATTTTAATACCGTTGTGCTATTTAGCGTTTAAAATTCAAGGAAAGCAAATTACGCCGACGGTAAATTTTGCATTAGTGTAAGCGCAGGGTTGACTTTTCCAGAGCGGGATCCAGGAGTCACAATATTGTCCTGATTTCACGAGGCTTGTGACTCGGAAGGGTGCATAATAATAGAGGATTTAGAATTGTTCCAAAGAGAGGCCCGGTAGACGCCGAGTGGTTGAGGACAGATTACACGCCGCAGGGATGCGGAAGGGTTTGTCGTCTTCGTCTTTCGGGAAGTGTTAGCGGGCGATAACGACACGCGCGTGCCGCATGTGGAATTCTAGATATTTCGATATATCTTCTCCCCGAAGGATGATTTTTCCACGAAACAGCCAGTGATCTCGTAAATCACGCGCGGAACTCTTAGCGAGCTTTCGCTTGAGAATGCGTCGCGATGCAAAATCTGCCGCATTACTGTAAATTAACGTCGTAATCCACGTTATAAATCGACGTGACTAATTGCCACGTGTAACAACCCCCAGAAGGCGCTTTGATTAAAGTCGAAATGCGAGGGTCCAGACGCATCTGGTGCCAAATGACTATAAACACGGTAGACGTGTCGAGTCCGGGCTCGGTGATACTTACTTATGAAAATCTGCGAGACAGTGAGTTTCACGAATTGAGTTACCGGTATTGTGACAAATCGCTGTAATTGCTTTTTAAATATTCCGAAAATATTCGCGCGACCTGTTACTGTCACGTTATTACTGCGGAAGGGAATAATTAGCGCATAAAACAGACGCTAATTGGACGACGCTTATTTCGGTGTAATGAAATCTTGATCGATAGAACGCCGGGCTTGTTTGTACCTTGAGAAGTACTATAAACCTCGAGGAAAAAGCGGAGATCTTCGGACATTAGATTGATGGAGCGGGATTAGCTGAATCCGACCGCTGGAAGCCGGGGATTTCCCTTGTCTAACCATAGGCTCAAGGCGATTCACCATAAGTTTGTGGACAACCCTCTTTTTCTACTTGGCTCTTATTCAGCACTCTGCTGATTATTGAAAAAAAGCATTTCTGTCGCTTAAAGAGAGAAGATCCGCTTTAAAGGAAACGTTGCCGGACAGATTACGCTTTAAAATTGCAATTTCTTTTAATGAAATCTTTTCTCTTCTTAACGAAATCTCTTAATGAAATTATTATTCAGATTGATAATAAATTAAGAAGTTAAAGCATTATAAGTAAGTACTTTATAATTTATAATTCCCTTCAGCGTTGCAGCAATGTGTAGAGATAACAGTGTTATATACTTGCAATGTTAAGAGGAATTGCAATGTTAAAACGGAAGGACAATTTTGTATCCCTTTAAAAATCTTGAGTCTGCGTCACGTCCTCTAAAAATGCTAAATAATAATTTGAAAGCAAAGTCTCATAGTAGCTGGGCTGTTTATCCATGGGATCACCTTAATGCAATGGGGAACGAGGGGGTGGTTTACTCCATGGGATACTTTATGGTTGCCCCGCGATAGAAGGACAGTTCAATTTACCGAGGATTTGCTATGAGCACATTGAAATGTCCTGCAGCGACTTCGTTCCGTCTTCATTGCTTCGCGTTTGTATGACTCCATAATTCAACCGATATATTATTAGGGGAAATCTCAACGTTGATGTATTTTCACGTATTTTACGTATTCACGTACAAATTTACGTATAAATAACACGCAAAATATTATACAAGAATATATATATATATATATATATATGTGTGTGTGTATGCCAAGGTGTATGTCAATGAATGCAATTTCCATATTATTTGCTACAAATTTAGTACATTTGAAGCATGAGATTTGTTTCAATTTTATCCTATTATCGTAAAAGATATACATAAATTATTACTAAATATTAAATACAAAATTCAAGTTAATATATCGTTAATAGGCCGTGTAATTGCATGATGCATGATTTTCATACAGCAACGAGAATTGTATGCAGTCATACTAACGTCGAACACCAAATGACGATATCACGAAGGACTTACTGGCTGTAGAAGAAAAAGGAAAAACATGGATAAGATGGTGTCATCCCACCAAACAAGTGAGAGTGTGTCAATATAGGTCTATACTTTCAATTGTTTGATGAGGTGAAATCATTCTAATTGCGCGTTATCTCCGAGGATGATGTCAAAGTCGGTGACGGTAGGTCGAGCGACGGAACGACGGCCGTAAGGAATCTTATCAATACGGAACCGATCGATATCACTGTGGTAGAAGTGGTTTCACTTGATTCCAACAATTAGAGAGTTATCGCATCATTGCTATTGCATCATATTGCGCATGTATTCGTTTTCTTATAAATTATCAAGATACGAGCTTGATTATACCGCAAAGATCGAATGTTTCTGAAACTACGAGTTTTCGAGATTTGCACATAGTCGTGTAACACCAGCAATTGATTTCCACAGTGATCGTCACTGCGTATCGTAGTGTCGTCTAATACATGATGACATAAGATTTTGTATTTGCAATTTTTTATTTTGTCCGCAGACATTCTGCCACACAATGTAGAAGGCTATCCGGCGACCAGAGAGTTCCTGATGAAAGTGGTGGACATCTTATTGGACTTCGTCAAATCGACAAACGATAGAAATGCAAAGGTCCTCGATTTTCATCATCCTGCCGACATGATGCGGCTGTTGGATCTGGAGATCCCCGACACCGGACTGACTCTTCAACAGCTGCTATTGGATTGTTCAATGACTTTGAAGTATCAAGTGAAAACCGGTAAGTACAAACTCTTCCTGTCTCGTGTCGTATGTGTGCTGCGCAGTTTTAATCAAACATCTCTCTTAAGTATCTACTGATTAATATTCAATTGTGCACGCGATTGCATCGGCTCTCAACAAAACTACACAAGTTGACTCGAAGGCGGAGAGACGCGTCGATGATGATGATGGAAATTTCGAAAAGATGAACAGTTCCTATTATTTTAAGCACTTTTCCACTTATCTCACCCGTCGAGAAAGATTTACTTCGAAGGTTACCTTTTACCATAAGAATATGCGTTAAAATTATTTCAAAGTTTTCTGAATGCATAACGGGCCCGCTGCTGGCGGAGATAATAGGCCAAAAAATACTGCAGAAATGCAGGCACCCCTGTCAGGAGGAGCGTTTTAACACCGCGCTATCGCACGCCCCTATCCACGAGGGCGATAAGCCACATAATTTCATATTCAATTTAGCATACGCGCTCGCAGGGGTGAAGATAAGGCAACGACAGACACTAGTAACGAAGCCCGACGGCCGTCAGTTAACACTCGAAATAAACACCCTAGCGTTGTGCTCGTAATAAATAGGCGAGAGTGGACAGGGAACGAAAAAAACTGAGATATCTCTGTGCCACGTGTTTATGTTACGTATTACGGAAATGATAGAATATCTCTACTTAAGTCTCTCCACCCTAACTGGAAGCTACTTCCTGTCCGTTGCCCTTATATTCTCGCAGCTTTTGAAAACTGTCAGATAAGATTTTACATTTAATCGCGTCGACTGCCCCAATCGTGAGAATTGATCGCGAATACTTTAATTTAATTGGAAAAAGACTCTCCGTATAAAGCAGTAACATAATTTTTCTTATATAATAAACTACATATTCATTGTTTAATCATGTAGCCAATTAAATTCTTCCACTTTTGCCGCCCATGTTTTTTAATTAAATCCGCACATCGTTTGTCATAAATTTTACGTGGATCATAAAGAAAAATTCGAAAAAAATTCTTTAGATGCATATTTCACATCGATAAAGCATGAGAAACGAAACAAATATGTTCATTGAAACGGGAAGAGTTTCAATTCGTAAAAATGTAGCGATAACATCGATCTGTCGAAACTATTATTGCGTTGTGATATAGAGCCACCGCAAAATAGCGAAAGTCAACCGCAAATCTCCCTCGGCGCGCGTGAAAGTTTGCTATCTCGGTAGGATTCGATTACTAGGCTGAATAGATGGTAATGCACAATGGAGGAGACCTTACCCAAACTTAGGCTAGGAATCCGGCCTGTCTGCAGTCTGTGTAAAAGGAAGCAAGGGGCGGGTGATCATCCCCTCGGTATCGAAGGGCGCGTGCACGATACGTGCCGACAAAAACTCGTTATTAGATTATATGCCGCAAGATTCGAGAGCCCTTCGCATATCGGGTTCTGAGCTACAGGAAGCTGTCCTGTCCTTGAAGAATATCACGCGATATGTATCGATGTAAAAGTTGCTCTTCGAAGGGTGTTATCGGAGGCATGTGAGAGATCGATAACGGTAGCGGGAAAAATCTGTCAATAAATATTGACAATATTACGACTGGTAAAACAATGCGAGATATTGTAAGAAACATAACGTCCGAATGTTCTCGGTATAATTAAGGAATCCTGGGGAAATAAAAATGTAGGATAGAAAATGTAGGATAGAAATGTAAAAAATACTGCGTTAATTAATTTTCGCGGACACACAGATCAGACATTTAATCAAAGGAAATCTCAACTTTGATTTCAATTTTGAGCCTGATCTTAATTGCGTGCCCAAGTCGAAATTTTGACGCTCCTTTCACGCTCTCAAGGACAGTCTGCGCCTATTTGTAAATAGTTTATAAACTAATGAAAATCTTGTTTTGACAATATTGACATTTATTAACTTTTCTCTTGAACTTGCAATTCAATATATTTAATTTTAATTCTATCTATTTTTGGACCCTAAAACGGCGAAAACAGAAACGGCGAAAACGGAAATTAAAGATATTATCAAAGTCAAAATAGGAATAAATTGTTAGAATTGTGAAATATTGAACCTATTTTGTTATTTTAGCTCCTACTGTGTCGTAAAATAAATTTAACATATAATCAAAATTTTGACCTGGGCGTTGATTTAGCATATTTTATTATAATCATATATGCATATATATAAAAGAATACAACAAAAATTAACAAGGCTCTGTGGACATTCAATAAAAGAAAAGAACGGAATGTAAAAAGGGCCGTTAAAAGTCAATGCACGGTTCTCTCTATTGTAATACAACAAATTTTATTGCATTACAACAGCCATGCATTGACTCTTAATGGCCATTCTCATCGTTTAAATACATTAGGCCAATATTCGATACAGTAGAAAATGATAACGTTTGGTATTGGAACTTCTCCAATAATCCCCGTAGGAACATTCACGCTCTATTTACTGCAACTCAGAAAATTTGTACAAACGCAACCTGTACAATCAGCGACAAATCGAAATTCCTTTTGGTCGAAGAGGAACGCGAAGGATAACGCGCCAGAATGCTACTCTTTCTAGATCACATAACCGTGTCTATACGCCGAATACTATTCGCGGTACTGGAAATAATCCATTTCTGTCATCTAAGGTTTTTATGATTACGCAGCTGCAAGGTTCAACAGTCTCTCTCTTATTAATCGCATTCACATCGCTGAAAAATTACGAAATTATACGAAATAACTTTTGTTTAACAGTATAGTAATCGCTGATTATTCAAATAATAGATAGGACTTCCGTTGTTGCTATAGTTTATGAAAAGTCTTAAACCGTATATCGTGCGTATAAGTGCAGCGAGTGTAATAATAAAAGACAAAAAAACACAGTACGGCGTTATTGCACGTGGTACCGCGGCACGGAGTAGCGAATTCAATAGGATCGGTGTAATTAAGAGCCATTTCTACACGATTTTTCCTTGAGGGTCGAGGGAGAACAGTAAATAGGGAGCAAAACCCGGCTATAGAGGGTGGTATACTGCGCGAAATAGGGGCTGTAGCAGCATTTTGCGAAGCTCGGGCGCGAGAGAGTATAGAGATGCAGCATTGGAGGAATTTAAATTGGTATCGATAGCTCGTCGTGGAATGCACGTACACATACGATAAATCGGTTCGTCACGGAGTGCGAAAAACATCGTCGCTGTATCATGTGGGTGGTATTCGGGCGATGATGGTTCCCGTCCGAAAAGGATCGAACATACCAAACGCCAGGAGCATGCAACATATTCGTTCGCTTGTCGGGAGAAAAATTACATTCAATTTCGTTCGCTACAACGAGCTCGAATTTGATGAAACAAACAATTCTACGAAATTCACCAATAAATTATATTGATTAATAAATAATAGTAAGTGTCATATATACAAAGGCACATCATACGCCCTATGATTTCAAGCTAATACTTTTATGCTTTATCGGCGAGATATAAGTACTGATCTGGCGATATATCCTAAACAAAGTGATGTAAAAGCAATTATCATTAGTATTTACATTTTTGAAGATTCTTTATAGAAGTAATATAACAGCAATGCCAGGCACAATGTTTCCTTCCTGATGAACGGTATGATTGATCGCTCCGCATTAATGTTAAGCCTGAGTTACACACTTCGCTCCATACAAATCCCGAGCCCCATAATATATCACCGCAGCCTGCTCGAAACAGGTTCTCCTCGCGTTTTCTCTTTCCGCCGACCTTGTGGGGGGAAAGCAGCAAATTAGTCGGAAAATGATACTCTGGATGGCGTAATCACCATGAAGAACGTCTGGGCGATTGAGACGGAACATTTGTTGTATCGTGGTTAAATATCGAGATAGTGTCAGAAATGGTTAAGCGCCGCAAAAGTGTAATTTCAGGAAAACAGCAGAAGAAAATTATACGCAAAGACGTTATTTTCCAATGCACTTAAATTTACGGTATATTCTACTTGAATTTCTCAATACTTTAACTATAGCTTTTAACTTGCTCCTCGATAAGGCACTGTTATCAAAGAGATGTTTAAAGATTTTAAAGAATCCTCTTTAAAATTGACATCCTTTCGAATCTACATCGCCGATCGACTGATCTCAGATTGCACTTTTTTTCCTTTTATCCGTCGTTATGTATTCACACGTATACCCAAGATTTGCATGCGAAATGCGAAAGTCATAAGTGAGAAGAGGAAATAGGTGCGAGGTAATAACACAGATTAGAATAGTAAAGTGGGTGCGCCATTTCCGCGTGAGAATGTTTAAGAATGCTCACGTGATTGTAAACCCGCGACACGAATCTGCATAATGCAAAGCAGCTTATCTCGCACCAGTTGGCCGCATGTGTTGGTTTTTCCTGGATGATGCAGAGCGCGTGCGGCGTTTGAGAGCCTCTGCAAACAATCTAGTCGAGCAGCGACGCGTGTGACGCGCAAAATGCGGGCGCTTCGGACCATCGACCCCCGCTCTCCGCTCTTAGTCGGAACGTGGCCCCGTCGCCTCTGTCAGGCTGAAAGAAGAGAGAAAATCGTCTTCTTGCGCACCCCTAAACCGGACGCGTGCCACGATCCACGGACCGAGATAATTGCGAATAACAGTACGACAAACGGCTCAAATGCCACCGTCTGATGTCACGTTTGGGGGTAGTTTTCGCGTCGAGCCATTGGATATTCGCGCTTACGAGATGATTCGTGTAGCATTTCTGGAATATCAGTACAACAGTCAAAGCCTTCGTGAAGGTAGATAAAGAATGGAAGCTCATTAATGCATTTGCGGCAAATAGAAATGCTCAGTAAGAAAACAATTTTTTAAGATGAATGAATATTGAATTCTTATTACAAGTGTCGCACGTAATGCTCGATATGTCTGTCGAATAGCGCGATATTTGTAACGATGTTGAGGGAAACTCTCGTTGAATATTTCGCAGCCGCTTTACTTAAAAACTGTACAATTGTTTTCCATTAATGGAATCCCTTTAATGGAAACACGTGGTCCGCGCTCGCGAATCCTCCGACTGAAATCGGAGATTATCCTTCCAGGCCTTTAACGTCGGTTCGACTTTGCCACGCGGTAAATCCCAGGCTCGGGGTAAGCGTCAGTGAAGGGGATGTCCGTACCTTGCGGAGATCGGTGCCATGTGTCAATCACTACATAATACCAGAAGATTAAAACGCATCCAATAGGCACATGGCGTGTCTCACCTAACACGGCTTTGTCGTGTTAGATTGAAGATGATATTGTTGATGACGAAATATTCTGCCCGCGTTTTGTACTTAAATATGTGCCCCATTTAATATATCCATAAAATAGTTTCAATTTATTTCTTGATTCGCAATATTTCGATCTGTCTTACATCTGTAAAATCGCTTTCGACACATCAGCGCGTCGCTGTGCGAGAGAGCGTAAGATTATCGGACACACAAGGGTCAAAGTCTTTCCGACGCCGGATATTCAATGGAGTAAATCCATCATATTCCAAGGATCAAGGGATTTGCCTTATCCTAAAATTGATAGTATAGGGATCGGTCTGTATGATGTCTGTCTCGTTGATTGTTTCCGGATGAATAGATGGAAAAATAATCTTGCAAATTTCAGCAGCCATTGTTCTTGTTTTACATCTGACAGATCTTCTTCAGATTTCCTTCATAAACATTTTTTTCTTAACAAATTGAAATTGATATTGTGTCATAATGAAAACACGCGCTACTTCCTTTCTCCCTCCAGCAAAATAATTACGAAACCTTTTTTAATGCGTGGCGTAAATAGTGGAGCGAAAGGCTGGCATAGCTACGCATTTACGTCAGAAAGAGAGCGAGAAAGTAAAGTACTAGCTCCCCTAGTTGCATCAGAAGGCCCGGCTCCCATCGAATAGAAGCATTAAGTTTGATCCTCGCGCGATGTTCAGCCGAGCGGATGACAACATACTCGTGAAGAGCTTAAAGCTCTCTTGCCGCCTTTCCTTCAGCATGCCTTTAACCTACACGCCAGACAGGATCGCGATATATAGTACGATAATACTTGGACACGTGCCACGTCAGCGTTATTAATTACTTTTACTATTAAGAGAGCCACTTGTCAACAATCACTGCATTAATTTTCGACGACGTGACTAGCGGAGTGATTTATCGGCGGGGTGGTAATTAATTTTTGACTCCTTAGTTTGTATCAACTTTCGTACAACAGGGATATCCACTCCCGCGAAATTACATCATCGAATTGGGAACTGTGTAGAATGCACAATTTCTGTGTAAATCCTTTTCTCTTCTATGCTTCTAGGACATCCACATTTCTTCAATCAGCTATCATGCGGCCTTGATTTAGTGTCCATGGCTGGCGAGTGGCTAACTGCTACAGCGAACACGAACATGTTCACCTACGAGATCGCTCCCGTATTTATTCTGATGGAGCACGTCGTCCTACAAAAAATGCGCGAGTTCATAGGTTGGAACTGCGGTGATTCTATCCTCGCTCCTGGAGGGTCCATCAGCAATCTTTACGCTTTCCTCGCTGCCAGACACAAGATGTTTCCGACGTATAAAGAAAAAGGGCTCTCTGCCATCGGAGGACAGCTCGTTATGTTTACGTCCGATCAGGTAAATGCGAAACTTGTCGTTAGCGATCAGCTAGTGAGTCTCTCTGATTTCACGAGAACTGAAGTGTCGGTCGGGCACATTTTTAGTTAGGTTGTTTACGATCGGTTGCGGATTGTTAATGCCCACAGTGCCATTACTCTGTGAAATCATGCGCTTCCGTTTGCGGTCTCGGAACGGATAACTGCGTGATGGTGCCTTGCGATGAGCGTGGTCGCATCATTCCATCGAAGCTGGAAGAATTGATTCTGGAGCGTAAGGCCAGAGGTCACATACCGTTCTTCGTGAACGCTACGGCGGGAACGACAGTTATTGGTGCGTTCGATCCGATCCCAGAGGTAGCTGATATCTGCCAAAAGTACAGGCTTTGGTTGCACGTCGACGTGAGTAACGCTTTTTCTTCTCTTTCTTCTCTCTCTCTCTCCCTCTCTCTCTCCTTTCCTATTCAAAAAGGATTTGGAAATATTTATATTAAACTTATATTAAACTTTTATTTTATTCTAACAAATGAGCGTAATATCATAGTTTTATTTAATAGTAATTTAAACATGATATTAAAAACGATAGTAACGGTGTATGTGTACATTATTGATCCTGCATTATACATATTATATTATATATTATGTATTAGAGAGTTATCTAATTGAGAATGTACATAACCTTAAGGATGCTCACTTGAATAGTAAAAGGTGTATCAAGTCAGATGCGCTTATGCAATCAGCCTCGTCCGAACGCAATTTGAGCTGTAAATGCCAAACGCGTAAGAGCTTTAACGTAAATAATAAATGTGGGAAGCAGCAGAAGTTTCGTTAAAGTGTTCGACAGTCGCGGGTAAGCCGTCGGGAAACTCGGAAAACGCCGGATCTATAAGTCAGAGATTAAGAAGCGCTTGACAGAATCCCGCATCTTGCTCACCCACGCGTATCTCGAGTTAATTTCTCGCGTTCTGTCATCGAGCTTTGTGCTTAACTTTTCATGTCCCATCCATTTTTGTTCCAGGCGGCCTGGGGTGGTGGGCTGCTTCTGTCCAGAAAGTACAGACACCCGAGATTGACTGGCATCGAACGGTGAGCGTTAAAATTTAAATATTGAATTTTGCTTTAATTTATTCTCCTCTGCATCCCGAAGAATAACAAAAAATAACAAAACTGCAATGAAAAGTCAAGATACAAAACCCGTTAATTTTGTGTTGGTTAAATCGATGCACGATTCCGTCTCACCGTTAAATCGAGCACCGCAGTCTCGCATATTTGTTGTTTTTACCATGACTTTTATATGTCACCGTGTATACAATTTTATTGATTTTCAAATCTCTGACTGAATATAGCGCGCGTATGTTCGACGTAGGGACGACTAAGTCCGCGTATTTTATAGTTTATTGGGGCTTAGTTGGGCTCAATTACGATGGACTTACTTGAAAAAAAAAACGCTTCTGATCCGATGCACGTCGCGGATAAAATCGATACGTTCCTCTCGAGGTAATTGCAGCTCGAACGTCGGGCGGTAAAAATGATTTTACATGAGAATGGTCGAAGGCCGTCATCCCATAATGTATTGCCAGCATAAACAGCGATTCGAATGCTACGAGGGGCTGGCGTCAGATTGTCCCGAAATGGTCTCTTGCGTCAGCAATAAACTCGTCGATCCGGAAAATTCCTGGCGATCCTTGAGAAACAATGGAAAATATATCACATACGTTTCCGCATCGTGTGTGAATAAAAATACTTATGACGGAGAGATCTTTATAAAGAAATTTCACTGCGATGCTACAAATGGTGAGAAAACCTAGCATTCCGTTGATGCGAATACGGGGGAGTCTTCCGGGCTGTGATAGGGGTCAGGGGTACGCACGAGGCACACATGGGGTTGGCGAGATTAATCCGCGATTTGCATCCAGGCGCATCTGCTCCCCCCGATTTAATGACAGACAGTCCCTGACTTGAGAAGCGGCGCTAGGAATCTCGCGGGAATAATTTACGTACAAAAAGAAAATTTTAGCATTTCGTCTGCCGGAGACTACGGTATTCCGAGAAATGTTGATAAGCGACGTGTCTCTTAACCGTTCAAGAACAAGTGCATTCATTTATTTATCTCTTGTTATAGAATTGACGAAGCACATGTTACGCCTACATACGGGGAAAAAATATTTTGCCGGCACAGAAAATTTGTCCGTTACAACAGAAAAATTTGTTACACGGAAAAGATAATTGTTGCCGTTGTAGCAAAACGTCGTTACGACAATGATAAAATTTAATTGGCATAACCAAATTATTTTTCTGTCTACATATTCAGCAAAAGTGATTAATAAACCTTTCTGCTGTCGAAACAAATCTTTTCTTCGCATAATAACTGACAGATTTGCTGTGTCAGCGAAATATCTTTCGCCTTGCACGATCATCGAGATAGCCGTCAAATGCAAACTTCGTCGCACATATTTCGAGTCTACTTAGAAGTTATCGCAATCGCACGATTTCTTTTTCCCTCGACGCCGATTACAGATCGGAATGCATGTTCGCGATTTTTCTACGTGGACTGTACGTCGACGGGAACTTCCTTCCTGGAAGTCTTGATTAAAATGGCAAACGAACGACGTGCAGAGAAAGATCCGACGCACAAGCAACAGCTGGATCAGTTCCCTGGAGCACATTTGCAGAACAGAACTCTCCTCTTATATCGGCGCGCCGCGTGCCACTGTGCCTTCCTCAGCGAGGCTGAAATAAAAGTCGGTGCCTTGACAATGCTGGATTAAACTCGTACAAAGGGAACTGCCTCTCTCATTCTCCGGTCCTCTGCCCTCTCTGTCCCCTGACTATATGCGTCCCGGATTGCACGGGTTCGAGAAAGAACGCCGTGATTTCACCTTCTCGGTCGAAAAAAATCGTGCTAGAAAGGGCAAGCTGGGCAGGGCCGTCGGTTATGCAAAGCTCGAAGTCTGGGGAGTACGTTTCGAACCTTGAGAGTAGAAATCAGGCCGTTTGCTTAATTTTGACAATTTCGTGAATTCGGCTCCAACACAGTGATGCATCAGAGTGCCGCAAATTTCTACAATGTTTGAAAGACTAGTTGGAATTTCAAATTTATCGACACCAAAGTATTTTTTAGGTCTTTCTTATATTTTAAGAAAAAAATCTCCCCAATTAAAATGTCAAAGGTGTTGTTATTTGCTTTTGTGCACTTTTATTATCGTATGCTGTAAGATAGTAAAATGCTTGTACATTGTAATTTATTTTGTGAACATTATTATTATTTAATTATTATTTTATATTTTTGATATTTTGTACAGTTATGCGGTAACTCGATGAGAATTAATTTCTGTCAATATTTTATTTTGATCATTACTGAATCGGAAGCGTGAAGTTCACGCTACCAAACAGAAAACTTCCACACGTAGTCTACGCATATCGCGCTTGAGGGTGCGGGTAATTAGCATCCCCTGTAATATATATCGCGCGGCTTTTGGGGTTGGCACCTTGGACGAATTTAAAAGCGAATAGAAGGGCGCCGCACGCGTAACACAGCTCCAGCTGTGAATCGCATTAATCACTCGAGCTTTATACACGCTTCTTAAATATGACCTGAATATAAGAAGAATATTTTCTATTTGCTTATTAAATTATTACTCATAAATTGGCTGCAAAAAATCCACAGCAATTTCACAACATATAAAAGGTGTGTCATAAAACATAGCGGAAAATTTCAAGACACCATTTTATTTTATCTTTAGTAAACTAATCAAAAGATGATATATCATTGAATTAAATGAGTACGTGCAAATATTTTCTTCAACATATTATTGTGTCCACATTTATAATATTTTACAAGGTCTATATTTTACTTTTATTTTATGTATATACTGTATATATTCATGTATATTCTGAAAAATTAGGTAAGCGCGAATATTCTAAATAATAATATATTGTTTGATATAACGCTATGAAAAATAAAGATGAACAGAAACACCAAAGTATAATTTAACGTAACTTAGAGGAAAAATAATAAATTAACAAATTTAGCAAATTAATAAAAATAGAAATAGAATGTGAACAAATAAAAAGAAAAGAAAACATAGCATAAAATCTTTCGGGACCAAACGAGCAGAAGTATGCCGATCTGCAACATCTAGGAGGATGCACATGAGTGAATAATGTAGAATGTCTGCTAGTGACACGAATTGTGCTTCGAGGGTGCTTCGAGTACCCTCGCATCATCCACAGGGCACTCAACCCGTGTGCGGGAACCAACGTCGCGATAAACATGCCATTTGCCAAGTATCAAACATCTATCATATCTGCAGCATGCGACTCGTGCGTGTGCATTTAAAAAGTCAAGTTTCATAATTATAGAAAAATCGTACGTCGCAAAAAAGATTGTTTCCATCTTTCAATAAATCCGGTAACTTTATCTCCATCAGAGATAAAAGCCGATCTTGCTAAGTATCTAAAGCGCAGCGCAAATTTGCGCCGAGGTACGCGAAGGAGGATTTCTCACATTTCACGATGCTTCTTCAAGGATTAAGAAGGGTTAAAGGTTTTTACCGTCGTAGTGGGTCCCAAAGGATCAGGGGGTTAAATCCGGTCCCGTGGCTATATTAATAGCTCTGCTCTCAAATTGATAGACCTCTTCTGTGGCGTGGCGGGAAGATAACTCATATTTTATCCCCTATTGGTTCCCGTGGGAGTGGATAAGAGTTTGACGACCAGCTGAGGTCGGCTAGCTTTTTTATTTAGCTCGGAACGGCCCGCTTCGACAGGTTGCTGATAAGGCGAGAAGAAGAATGACTCTTCCCTTAAAAAACGTTTGGGCCACATGCTTTGTGACCACGGGCGCATTTTATATTCGTGTAAAAAAGACTGGGAGGAAATTTTTCGAACATGGAATTAATTAATTTAGGATAGCAACAAAAATACCTTAATTTGACTTACGTGCAATCCTTATTATTCGCTAGAAGCCTTAAAAATTGTACATCAAATAGGGCGAAATGGAGTTCTATAGAATTGCAACGACGTATAATTTTTCACAGGGCTGATTCGGTGACATGGAATCCTCATAAACTTATGGGAGCTCTACTTCAATGTTCCAGTATTCACTTTAAGGAAGACGTAAGTTATGTCATTATATGTGTGATTAGCCGGATAATATTTTCACTAATGTGAAAGAATTGATAGCCAGTTCAAAGCTAAAGTTTAAGCGGGAACATCATATTACAACTGTGGTGGATTTTTCTCTTTTTTTACGAAGCGCTTATACTATTTCGAACTCTGGCATTTCACTTAACTTTCCTTCTCTGTGACGTTTCATTGCTGAAAAGCAGATTCGCGAATAAGAATAAGAAAAGAGAATAAAGGGAGTTTCACCCTTGAACAAATGGAAACGTAAAGTAAGTATTCAAATGAATAACAGTATTGCATTCGCGACATATTCAAGACGTTGCACTTTTGAGAATTCCTCTGTCTGTGCTCGGGCGCACACTGAAATTCCAGCATCGCGCAAGGGCGACGACACAACACTAGCCGCATTCCGAGGGGTAGACCTACGTGCCGGAGCGCCCGGCACTACAGGAATTTAATTAAACTAAGAGATAACATATGTTGCCGTCCGCCTACAGCGTGCCGCCAGGGAGGGTCTATCCCTCCCCCTCCCCCCACGACTCAGTTATTGCTAACTCCGAACTTCCCCTTCGGATATTAAAATTCCGTGCACCGGTTGCCGCGAGATATCCGGGGGAGAGCGCGCCGTGCTTTTGTCGGGCTGCGTCGCTGTTGACGTTGAAGCGTGGCGTACAAGGAACGCTTCGTTAACATTGACAGTCGCATTGTTACTGCACTCGGTACAGATGCATAAATGACTGAATACGCATGACTTTTCTCACTAATGTGAAGAGGTTGACTTATTTCAATTTCTAATCTGAATGTGCGCGCGATCGAGCATTCATTTTTTGCAACTCCGAGGGTAACAATACAAAAAATAGCTGCAACGGAAATTAAGCCGTAAAGAGTCTCTTCTTCTGCTTTCAATACAGAACATTACGTGAATTCAAACATGCGCCGTACAGAATTTCTCTAATATCAATTCATAGAGAAACGTGCTCGAGCTAAAAAAGATAATTCCAAACAATGGTATTCAGCAATGGTATTCAGCACAGCACACAGCATTGGTGTGGTGGTGCGCGTCCACCATTTTGTAAATTCAATATCTTGAGTTCCTCTCCCTGTGCGCATGTGTTGAAGCGTCATATCGACCCGGACGGACTCGCCCTCTTCCTCCTCCTCCTCCTCCTCCAACGCCTGTCAATCGGAAATCACGCGAAACAATTCTGGAAATGCTCCATTATCGGAAAAACGTACGCGCCGTCTGCCGTCTGTTTTGAAAGCGAGAGCTGTTTCCATTTTGCAGGGCCTGCTGATCAGCTGTAACCAAATGTCCGCGGAATACCTGTTTATGACGGACAAGCTATACGACGTGAGGTACGACACTGGCGATAAGGTCATTCAATGCGGACGTCATAATGACATTTTCAAGCTTTGGCTGCAATGGCGCGCCAAGGTACAAAACCCATCGGCACTGCCGCGAAAAGCTTCTGTGCTTGCGCTTCCCCCGTTACATGTCGATTCCCTCTCTATTCTTCCGAGTAATATACGCACACTTGTGCGGAGATCCGTGTCTTTGCTACTGTGTACTGTCACTTTGCTGTTTCGTCACTATTAGGGCACAGAGGGTTTCGAGAAGCACATGGACCGGCTGATGGAACTAACTGAGTACATGGTCAGGAGGATTAAACAAATGCCCGACAAGTATTACTTGATTCTCGAGCCCGAATTAGTGAACGTCTGCTTCTGGTACCTGCCTACACGCGTGCGAAACATGCCACACACCGCGGAGAGGATAAAAATCTTAGGCGAGGTGCGCGCTCGATGAGTAAATGACATTTTGTGTAAATACAAAGAACACTTGACGAAGATCCAAGCAGGTCTAGTAACGATATATCTAAATAGCACAAAATATTCTATGAATACTCTTATGAAATACAAGCGTTCTTAATTGCAGAATATTTGAATCGGATATCTTATGAATACAGTGTAATTTAATATATCAAATATCATTTTATTTGAATGAAAATATCGTTGTTTCATCAGAGTAAACCACGCTGTTCGATGGAAGTGAACAATTATTTCGAAGAAATAATAAGAAATGTTTGGTTTTCAATAAAAGAAAAATGTACATATAATAATGTTTTTAGTATATTCTTCAGATATACAGTGTTGTCTCAACATGTAAAGCAGTATGTTGGGTTGCCGCTGCAAAGGGACATATGAGAGAGTGAGAACGCGCTCGCAATCGGTTCAAGTTCGAGTGCAGCATGCTCTCAATCTCTCATGTGCGCCTTTGCAGCGGCATATTGCTTTACATGTTGACGCAATACCTTGTACAAATATTCGTAATACAAAGATATTCATAGACCATTCATAAAATATTCTCGCGCCATCTGAGTAACGACAATAGTAACAATGTGACAAGATAGCTTTGGGAAACTTATGTGGAGATTTTGAAACGAAAGAACCGTTTGTGCTTTCAGATTTGTCCAATTCTGAAAGGTCGCATGATGCAATCTGGTACCCTAATGGTTGGCTATCAGCCGGACGATCGACGACCCAACTTCTTCAGGAACATCATTTCCAGTGCTGCCGTGACGGAAGCTGACGTTGATTTTCTCCTGGCTGAGATGGACCGACTGGGTCATGATTTGTAAGAAACTTGTCCATAGATATTAATCGTATATAATATACGATTAGATGACTGACACACACTCACACACACACACACACACACCGTTGGCCAAGCCGCACCGCTGTCACGTAATTGTTTAATTGGGTACGTCGAAAATTTAGCGACGCACCCTTAAATGATGTGTACAAAAGATACAAAATTCAGATCAAAATTCAGAACCAACAATATGAGTATAAAACGCGAGGATATGTGCGGTCTCTTTATTATAATAGTTCTCCATTCAGTTCTTGCTGATTTTTTCGAGATGTAATATTTCTTTAGTGATGTGAATTATTTCACTTACGTAAAAGTTCTCACTTATTAAGAGACTAATAATGTCTTGCGAGTGTTGATAGTAAACGATATGGTAACATTGATTTGGTGTTGACTTGGTGTTTAAATTTTGATCGAGTTGATTAGCAAAATAATTCCTTGCTGTATTTCCCGGAGTATCATAAGTCTGGCCGTAAAATATAAACGTTCATTCGTCATCCAATAAGAAGCTTCGCCAAGTCTAAATTAATTAATAGAGTATAACTGTTGCTTAGGACGATAGAAATAATTTAATTTCGCATAAGTTTCTCATTGAGAACGTGGAGGGAAAGTGTTGGTGTTGGTGAAGGGTTGATGTGTAGCTAAATGCTTCTCCATCTTGCGAACAGTTTGCGGGAGCACCTTGAAAATATCGAGGAGAGATATTCATAGTATAAGTTTTCTAGATTTAAACGAAATACACGTCATACCCGAAAAAAAAAAACGAAGAGTCAAGTTACAGAATTAGAGATGCTTCCGGCCGTAAGCTACGCAAATTTCTTATTTTTCGCTGCTCGATGCATATCCATACGAGCGATAAAGCTACTAATCTCTTATAAACCGAAGCAATAATAGTGTAGATCTGCTTTTCAAATGAAACATCCGAATAAAACACTTTATCTCGGAACATGAATCATAAAGAGAGTGTGTTCAAATTTGATTACGCTTAATTTATTACGCTTAACAAATTAATTTTTACACAAATGTGCCACTTCGGACAATATATATATCGAATCGGTTTTGAAATGTTTGACAATATCAACTTGTGTATAAACAATTTTTTAAATTTAACAATATTTTTGTTGATGTTATACTTATGAATATATTAAATTGTATTTTATTATAGTTAAATGACTATGAGCACATTTAATATCGTTCAACAGTCTTGTTTAAAATTATTCAAAAGTTGCTAAAGGGAAGCACATTCCAATAAGAAGATTTATTTCGCGATTTAATCAAAATTGATTGTTTATTTATATTTAACATCTATATAAATATATAACATACGGAATGAAAAAACAGATCGGATGGTGTAGAGGTTTATTATCTAGAGTATAAATTGTAAGCTATATCTCTCTGAGCTTAAGCATTGTTCTGTCCTCGTTGTATGAGTTACAACGAATTGTCAGCCAATAGTTACGGAATATAATATTTTTATCGACGTGGCATATATTGCATATGATAGGTAACACAAATGATATTACTTTTCATTATAGAAAATAAACTTAATGCTACGCATTATTTCGTTGAAGTATTGACAATGTTTATAATTTATCGATTGTTTGCGAAGATAACGTTATGAGATGGATTGCACCCATTATATACAAATGTATGTATATTATAATTTACTGTTGAACAATTTTAATCGAAAACGGAGAGTACTATTTAATATATAGATAAATATACAAAAAAGTATATAAATATATAAATATCAAAGCATATATATATATATATATATATATATATATTTAGTGTTGAGATTTTAAGAATACAAAACACAAACCCATGAAAGTACATGCTTTTTCAAGTATTCGTGCGAACGGTTGTTACTTAGTTCGTCGATTCTGTTAGAGATCTATCTATCGTTCTTCATTCAAGCACTATTAATGTAGTTAAATAGTTGGAAGTGGGAATTGCATCGTAACAATATGAACTGATGCAATAATTATTTCCAATATCATAGATTTTCATATTAATTCTTTATAAGAACAATATAACCTTGTAATTTTATTATCTCCGTTATATATATATATATGTATCGATACAATACACTTTTTATTAGCGTTTGACCGCTGTTTCACGTCACGAAAAAAGTTCTATAACATACGTTACGAACATGGTGAATTTACAAACGACGACAAGCGTTTCGATCTGTTCGACGACACTTACAACCGAACGACTCTATAGATTTCGACTTACTCGCCAGTACGGAGTAACAAAAAAAAGGTATTTAACGCGTAAGTAACATAAAATATCTAGGTGTAACTATACGGGAAATTGAGTGTATTTATGTACATTTTCGGTAATTCAACGCATTTCTTTTTCCGTCGACGACTATCGTGCCGTCGTGGCAATTAGCTTAAGTCACACTTAGCCAAACATGTTAGAAATGGGGAGCCGCAATTAGTACTGGGATTGAACTAATGCGTGATTATCGAAGTAGAGAATAATCGATATGTCCTGTTACATGTAACTTAATGCCAAAGATGTTAATCGTACGTACTTAAATGACGGCGCTTGGCTGACGGATTATAGCGAGCGATGTCAATTCCATAAAGAAACGTATATAATATATAAAATATAAAGTACGATACTGTTGAACTCTGCATCAATGAAGCAAATAAAATTGGAGGTTGTGTTCGTAATGTGTTTGATGTCAAGACATGAATAATGTTTACTTTTCAAAACGACTCGTATCTTATTGCACAATCACGTAAAGGGTATCAAAAAATGTTGGCGAAACAATTTTAAAATAGTTTACAATTCGTACGACAAACATCAGTTTGAAAAACCGTTTTCGGCACTAAATGTTTTATTTATTGATCTGGAGTTCACACAATTCATCTATAATGACTATATGCGCCAAGGGNGGGGGGGGGGGGGGCGGACAAATGTATTTTTCGAAAGGAAAATGAATTAAATGATTCATCTGACCAGCAAACCGATACCTGCAAAGAGGCTCTATCGAGACATTGTTAATTATTATTCGTAATTCTATCGGCGTTGCGAGTTCTTTTAGTCATAGTCGTTGGCACTGCCGACATAGCGATCAATGCTAATCAGAAGCGAATAACTCTCGTAATACAAACGTCTTACAAATTCCCGTGTGAATGACCTTCTTTTTGAGGAAAGAGCGATATATTTGTATAGAAAGTATACTCGTCCTTGTAGACTTGCAGTCATTTGATTTGCATGTACAACTAGTTGATTAATACGTTAAATTCCGCGTTTTACGTCGGACGTAAACCTTTAAGAGCGCGTTCCACAATTCCCCACCCAGGTGCGCACAGAAGTATAGCATATACGTAATATGAATTATCACTTAAAGCTATACTTCTGAATGCATCTGGACGGGGAATTGGAATATAGCCCGGAAAGTCGATGTTATCGATGGTAGATATCAGCGATAGTATTAATATAGTAATATAGTAAAGCACTAACTCTTATTAGAAAATATATTATTTATATAATTACAAGCTGAAACTGCAAGTGTTACTGTGGATATCACGGAAATTACATTTGTTAAAATGATACATACAGTAACAATTTACCCTAAGCCCAACATATCAAAATTCGCATAACGAATAATGAAAGAAAAAGAGAAGAACGACGTGTACATAAAAAGCCACTTTATTGGTTTTAATATTTCGTACATTGTTGGAACGATAGAATTAAATATAATGTTATTTCGAAGAGAAAACTACGCTTCACATATTTAATTCTTAGAGTATTCTTAAAGTAATTTTTAGAAATGCACATCTTCAAATAACATGCACATTTCGGAAATATTTAATAATTCATACTTCCGTCTAATTCCATGCACTCCATGCACTTTTTCAGTTCTTGTGACGTTTAGCAGCACTTTGCACTGCACTATACATGTTGCACTACGACATTGTATGTAGTGATTATCGATATATTTCGGCTTTTCTCGACAGTCTACATCGACGAGAAATACATACGTTTGTGAGCAAATAATCTCTCGCTTGGGTTGCGTTAACGAGGTAGGAAGTCTCCATAACGAGTTCATTCATGCGATTGAGTTCCTTTACTGGTGGTTTATCATGCCGACCTTGGAAGTCCTTGACCTCATCATTATCGTTAATTATTAGTCTAAGTTGATAATGGAGCAAAGCAAGCAACAACAAAGTCCCATGTCTTCCAAACGATGAGAGTAACGATTAGTGTTTAGCGAGAAAGCCTCGAAACATCATCGAGGAGAAAGCTATCCTTGTATACTGTACGTAAAGAGAGAGAAATACATTTATATATACATAGAGAAAAAAAAATATATATATATGTTCACACGCGTGTGCGCAAAACTCTGTTGATATGTAAACGAGAAACGAATGTTGAGAGAATATGCTGCGATGATTGTTTGCTGGCACGTCATAATGTTGTTCGAATACCACCTACTCACCTAATTGCCCTTATTATCCACTGTATATCAATGTCTAATAAACTGCTGTTATCCCAAGTTACCTATAGATTCATACAAAATAATTCGTACAAATTTTTCATTTTTACTTTCAACTCAAAATTCGTTGCGCATTTAAATTTCGTGAAAAATTATAATCCGAAAAAGTCATGAAATTTGGATTAAATGAAGAATTGTTAAATTTAACTAATAATATTTATTGATTAAAAATCATTAAATTTAGATTTTAAGAAAAATAGTTCATTCCCAATTAAAATTGGGAATTTTTAAATCAAAAAAGATGAGAGGAGCATTGTGTGATATAATATTCCGCGTGACACAATAATTATATTTTGCTACTTATCTGTCGTTCTTAACCAATCAACACTCGTGGCACAGTGACAAACAATGATGATGGAAAAATAACTGATAGAGTGGTTCCATCGCCTTAATGCAAGAAACCAGTCAAACCGGAGGCTTATCGACAGTGACGATCGTAAACAGGTGTATAAATTATCCGGCCCGGTCGACCCCAGACCCGAGCGAGTCTCCGTAAGCTGATTACCTTACAGTCGCAACATTCTTACGCAAGAGAACGTCTGTTCCGACGGCAGACGTTAACAGCAGCAGTAACCATGAAATCCTTCATCAATTATTCGCCAGATTGCGATTTCCCGATCGAAAATTTACCGTACGGAATCTTCTCTACAAAGGAGAAGGTAAGTAAAATCATGTTGCATCGTGGATAAACATTGATCATGTCCGTTATGACACAGCTACGACTATCTTTGCCATGGAATTATAGGTTATATCGTATGTGAAGTGTGCATATATATATTTTTGTTTATATTTTTGTAATATATTCCGGATATATTACAATATATAAAATAAAATATATAGCATAAATAATATTTCTTGTTATTATTACGTATTCTTGCATAAAAATGAAATATATCTCATACATTCCACATGAATGCAACATCATGCCCACGCACGTATACATACACGCACCCACACGAAGCGCTTAGTAAATGACTAGTGGTTCGAAAATCTGATTAGTGTATACTTCCGGATCTTAGCTAGATTTAAAAATAAACACCAATCAGGTTCACTAATGACTAGTCATTTGCTAAATGTTTCATTCTACTGAACGCAACATAGCTATCATAGGCCTAGTTTACTCCGTCATTTGACATGTGTATACTAACTAGTAACTTTCTATTAGATTATCTTGATATCGACGATGCATATAAACGACGGTATACTAAACTGGTGCAATACACATCAAAAAGATGTATCGAATGAACTTAGTATACCATTGTTTACATGCATCGTCGATATTAAGATCTAATAGAAAGTTACTAGTTAGTACACATATCAAATGACTAGTGTAAACTAGTGACTAGTGTAAAGTCATAGTACCTAGCGCCGTCTAGTAGCAGATAGTTTTAATGTGGTATCATCAGTTGATACATTACTGTCGCTCGATAAATTTAGAATACCTCATCTGGATATTAAAATTCAATAAAATGTATATTACTTTATAATATGAAATATAAATATAAATATATTACCAGTTTAGATTCTTTATCAATAAAAGCATCGATTTCATTTATTTCTAATAATTTAATTTATTTATTAATACATATATACGATAAACAATATTACATAAAACGGTTTATATAAAATATTTCAGCCAGAAAAAACAATAGGTGTAGCAATCGGTGATGAGATTTTGAATTTGAGTGCTATCGCAAATTATTTCGATGGGCCGCTATTGAAAGAGAAACAGGATGTATTCCGTCGTGATTGTCTTAATGATTTTATGTCTCTCGGGAGGCCAGCATGGCTAGAAGCAAGATCAAAACTTCAAGAATTGCTTTCTGCCAGCAACCAAACCTTGCAAAATGCAGAAATTCGTTCTAAGTGAGGAAACAACAAGTCAAAATTAATAGTAAATGCATATTTTTGAATCACCATCGTAATTTTTCTTTTAACGTTTCCTTTTTAGAGTTTTAGTCGCACAGAAGGATGCTGTGATGCATTTGCCGGCAAAAATTGGCGACTACACAGATTTTTATTCCTCGATCAATCATGCAACAAATGTTGGCATTATGTTCCGTAGCAAGGAAAATGCGCTGATGCCGAACTGGTAATTTTTCGCTGCATTATTACATTTTGATTTTACTTTGCAAACTGTGCCAATTAAAACCAGTATATACATAGGAAATACCTGCCTGTCGGCTATCACGGAAGAGCAAGTTCCGTTGTTGTGTCTGGCACACCCATAAGACGACCATGTGGTCAAACACTTCCTGTCGAAGGCGCCGCACCAGTTTTCGGCCCTTGTAGACTGATGGATTTTGAACTCGAAGTTGCCTTCTTTATCGGCGGACCATCTACAAATCTTGGTGATACTGTCTCAGCTTCGAATGCTTACGATCACATTTTTGGAATAGTCCTGATGAATGATTGGAGTGGTACGATATGTTACGATACAAAATTTATCTCATTACATTTGCTTCAAACATGTATTATATTATTTTCAATTCTGCATTCAATTATTTTGTAGCGAGAGATATCCAAAAATGGGAATACGTTCCATTGGGTCCGTTCGATTCAAAGAATTTGGGAACTACAATTTCTCCGTGGATAGTTACGATGGAAGCTCTAGAACCCTTCAAAGTGCCTAATACGGTCCAAGATCCAATACCATTCCCATATTTACAGCATTCCGAGTCGTGTAACTTTGACGTTAAATTAGAAGTTAATATTAAACGTAAGTCGAGTAATTATTGTCTTCCCACTTTCCTTATAGTTATAATACGCACGTTTCTCTCTTTTTTTCATTAATTCTTGACAATTATAATTTTATTTTAGCAGCTTCGAGTGGCGTAATCACAACTGTATGCCGGAGCAACTATAAATACATGTATTGGACCCCACGACAACAATTGGCGCACCACACTGTCACCGGATGCAACATTAATCCTGGTGACTTAATGGCTTCCGGTACTATAAGTGGAGAGGTGTGTTCAAAAATTTTCTACTATTATTCGTTAAATACCTTTATTATTTATAATTCCACAAAAAATCCCTCCACATCTATTATTTTCAAAAAGTTATATATGATTGTTCATGTATAACCCATACAGCTGCGTACGTATTGCTGTAAGCTTCTGCTATGGGAATTGTGATGATATCAAATATTTATTGTAGACTTCGGACTCTTTCGGTTCTATGTTGGAATTGTGCTGGAAAGGAACGAAGAATGTTCCATTGAAAGATGGTACTACAAGAAAATTCCTTCAAGATGGTGATGAAGTTATCATTCGCGGTAAGCAAATAAAATAGTTTTACCGTATATTTGAAATTACGTATCAATTTACTAGCGTTGTTTCTCAGGTTACTGTGTCGGCGATGGTTACAGAATTGGATTTGGATCGTGTGCAGGTAAATTGTTACCCGCGCGCACCATTTAAATAAGCCGGGGCTATAACGTATATTATTATTATATACACATGTGTAGATTTTACTACTTCTATATATCATGTGTTTGCATTATAATAAATTTTTATAATACTTACATATATAATCCTTCTACTCTTTTATCAACAATGAACTTTGCGAAAGATAACGATATTAATCGAAATTATATAAGATTTAATTACACACGTACGCATGTAACAAAATACTAAATAAAGATTATGTAATTACTATAACTGCGTTGCACTTTAATTATTTATATTGTTTTCCGTATTGTCGATAAATATATCTTAACATCGAAACAACTAGACGGTTAAGGAAACTTGTTGTTTCCTTACAACATATGTAAAGAAGTTATACTATGTGGTATGATAAAATGACGATTATTGATTGTGTGAGGATAGTCGCGAGGTAAGGGCGATCAATAACGAGGCCAGTACAGGTGCAACTGGAAGAGACATGGCATGCGCTCTACTTCGGTGAGTAAAATACATAGATTTAAGTAAGGAATTTGTTTATTCTTAATTGTTTATTTTCACTTAATGCACAAATCGTCGCAGTTCATTTTCATAACGATAAGTATTTTTGTTGCCGCAAATTCATATATGCTAGCTACGTAATATAAAGGTTTAATAGTATACGTGTACTTTAGTGAGCAGTAAAGCAGTAAGAATCCCTATTACAGCAATACACAATAACGATAACAATTATGTTTTTCGCTTAATAACATGTTTTACTCAAGTCTATTTGCGTCGTTCATCGCATTTATATACAAAATTTTCTAACACGAGCTGTACCTTTAATATTGTATCTTTGTTATTGTCGTCGAAAGTTTCTAAAGTATGATATATTGATCGCTATTAGTGCTGTCAGTTTAACTACTTGAATACCCGAGTCTCTTAGTAACTAAGTGTACAGTTAATTTCAGACGTTACAAATTATTAATCTTTCTAACAAATAATTCTCTACAGATAATTTTAACAAATAATTCTAACAGATAAAAGATAATAATAAGGTTTGAAATTAGCTGTATACTCAGTTATTGCAAGACTCGGATACCAAGTAGTTGAAATTGATAATACTAATCGCTTCCATATAGCATAGAGACTTGCAGTAACATTGTTGCAATATTAATGTTGCAACAATGTTAACGTTAGCTGTTGTGCTATGTGGGAAAGAGTTCTCTCTTTTTCTCTTTCTCTTTCTCTTGGTATATTATTTTTTTATGTTAAAATATTATTTTATTTATATATTTGTGTACTTTATAATGTGTTATTTTACATGTTTTTAGAAGTCTCCATCATTTAGAAACCTCAATGAACGAACCTACTGCCAAATGGACTGTTCCTATGAGTGATGGAAATCATGTGGTGGAGTTTGAGCATGGAACTGCAACAGGCAAGCGTGTGGTAAAAATTGATGGCAACGAAATAGTTCACCGAGATTGGATGTTTCGTCTCGTCGGTGACGAAATCTTTATGTTCAATAGCACCAAGTTTGTGATCAGAGTCGATCCAATGCCAGGTAGATCAATATCGAAGTTCATCCTTGAGATGAAAAATCTTATTTTTTTGTTATTCTATTATATGATAATTCAATAGGCCTGAAGTATTCTTACTCATTATGGGTGAACGGAAAGAGTTACAAGCAGTTTGTCCAGTCGCAAACAAAAATATTGGAGACCTGGTTGGCTAAAGTTGAGAATGAGGAATATAGAATTGTATTAGGTAATTAACGAAAATATTATATTCGTGTCAAATATCGTCTTAAACATTTCATAAATCTGTTTTCGTGACATTTGCAGACAAACAAACACATAGCGTTTGGGTGAATGGACAGGAGGTGGAAGTTGAGGTAAAAGTAGAATAAAAAATTTGTGTTAAATATCGTATTCCACCCATATAGTACAAATATTCACGAGACATCCTAGACATCCTAGAGATATCCTAATATTTCTGGAACGTCTTTATACAGTGAAAATTTTGTGTTAAATTTAACATATTTCACATGTCTCAAACAGTCCACACAAATTTTTGTATGTTTTAACTTAACACAAAGTATTATTTTAACATTTACACATGTCGAATATCGAATCAGCATAAAATATTGAGATAACATAAACTTAATATATTAAATTAAACACACGGATATATTAAAAACTTGACATGGAAATTTTAACAAGGATTTTAACACAAATACGAAATATTTTTTATTGTATAAGATGTTTTTTTGAACATTTGTGCTATTTGGGTATGTTACTTATATTTCAATAAGTATTATTACATAATGCAACTTTAAAATTTTACATGTTCCTCAACATTACATACGAAATTTAATAATAATTAAATTTAATAATTTTTAAATACACAATTTTGTATGTATGAGATTTTAAATTATAATTATATTTTCTATCGAATTATAAATATATTTGTTTCACAGAATGAATTTATGGACGGCGGTGCTGAAATTCTCTTCTCCGTTAATGACTTGTCGGCCTCAATTAGATCGTACAGTTCAGAACAAAAGGAAATCGGTATAGCATATGTCTTATATATAAATGATGTTGAAATAATGCAAGAAGCTCTATTGGCAGAATCCTAATTGAAACATGTGTCGTAACTTAGTCAGCTAGATTTTTCTATCTACACATTAATTGATAACTACACGATATTATCAATTATAAATTATACGTATTACCGTACAAATATACTGCACAAATGTGTAACATATTTTTCAAAAATATTATTTTGTCATAAAATATTTAGATTTAGTCCACATCAATGTGCCATGTAATGTTGTATACGTCTTGTAAGCTAAAAGTATAATAAAATCATTGAAAATGTAAATTTATTTGTTTCAAATCTCTTAAAAATACTTACTGGAAACTAGTACCTGAAAGCAGTTGAAAAAGGTTTATATCTCTGTTCACGTGACACATATCGAAAGAAATTGTAAAATGTATAAAATAATTTTCCACATATATATTATATGTAATGTTCTCATAATGTAACATTTTGAATAATCTGTAAAGATTAAGATTGCAAAATAAAAATGTCGCGACAACCAAGCAGTATCTTTAGTTTGGGATCATTAGGTTTAACCTTTAAACCAGATGAATCTTATTACGAAGGTAAGAATATTCTCAGCGTAGAAGAATGGAATTAAAGAGTGGAAGAATATTTTAGCGTTCTGTAGATATGACAGAAGAGGAATTACGGCAGACACTCGTAAATATCGCTGAAACAAATCTATTTCTGAGACTAGAAAACGACGTTTTCGAACGATATCTTATGCGTCAAGATCCTGAGAGCCTTCAAAGTAATCTTTTCATTTAATATGTACTCACTCTTTAAATTTTTTCTGGAATCGTCATATTTAAAATTTTATGTTAACTTTAACGTTATTCCAGAAATATGATTGTCAACTTGAATTTTTAATATATTTCGTTCAGCAATAGCGCAAATCTTAGAAACCCCTAAACGCATGCAAAAAATCATGCCACATCACGTTCCTCCGTCACCTGTTATGAGCGGAAGTGTTGGAACTGTACAAGACAAGGACAGTACGAGCATCGTCAGTATACAATCAGGAAGTCGACATGCCATTCCAAATGTTTTAGCACCTAGAATAGAAAGAGGAGGAACAAAGTTAATTTACTAAATAGCCGTAACATTCGTTACTATCGTGTCTTCGATTATCGAAGATTTTCTCCAATTACATCGAATCGTAGAATCCCGTATGCAAATCGCATCGAAATGGTGAACACTGAAATTCAACAGTTGTCAAGAGAACTGATAGAAGATGAACGGAAATCGATGCAGAGGAAGTTACATCTGCAGGCGCAAATGAAAGAAAATGAGACTAGCATTCGCGAAACTTTCGAAACAAGGGAGAGGTTTGAAAAAGATGTTGTAGAAAAAGGTGTAGATAGCATTACGGGGAAAATACCGGCCGAGAAGTTTGTCAGGTGCCACAGAAGCTACCTAATAAACACCGATTAACAGTAACATAACATCAAATTATAATTTCCCATTCAATAATACAAATGCAGTAGAACGTATGCGTTATGTAATAGTTATATAACGCATGAGTGGGAAATTGTAACATTGATGTTACGTTACTAATATAAATTAGTTTATGGGTTATTATATGTAAATGGCAAAACTGATAAAGACAATAGGTATGAGTTTAACTCGTAGGTTCATAGAGGAATGCTTGAAAGCAGCCGATACCATAATAGGACGAACCAGACTGAAGGCGACAACCACAAATATCCAGAAAAGGAAAGCCATGCAGCAGCTGAAGCGTAGACAAGAACTCGGCGAGGCTCTACGCGCTGTAGACTTCGAACAATTGGACATAGAGAATCAAGATTGCATACGAAAAATCGATGAGAAGACTCAATATATGCTCGAAATGAAGAAAATCGCAGGTAACCAATAATTATCCTACGAACATTGCAATACGTAAATCGTCCCGTTTCACACAGGTCATCACAGTATCGCTTTGACCAAACACAAGAGGAACTTAAGTAACTTGATGTCCACTGTGAATGAAGTGAAAGCTAAGATCGTCTTCAAAAAAGACGAGATCGTGAAATTACAATCTGAACGAGCTACCGTAAACGCGGAAAAAGAGAAAACGCAAATGCAGCTGAAGTCACTAATGGAGTTGATGGACAATTTTAGTGTAATGTTCTTTATATATGTTATGCGTAATTGTTGCAACAACACTTTTTTATTCTTTGCTTGAACAAACGTCAAAAAATTAAAAAAGCGTACATATGCGAAAAAATATCCATTACTTAATCTCTTATAAAAGCTATCGCTCGATTACAAATTTAGGTTCCGGAAGTCCTGGATTGCATCAAAATACATAGAAAACTACATGAATTACAGAATGTTCACAAACGATTACTCAGGCAAAGGAAGATTCAGCAAATAACCTTCAAATCCAGCAGATAGTAACTGCACAGAATGTGTCACGTAGAGATATTAAATTATTGTTAAAAACATGCTGAGTTGGTCGAATATTTTATTCGATAAATATATTTTGTTAATTCTTGGATTTTCTGTTTTTAGGAGAGCCGAAAAATTTGATTACAATTGGACTGAAAATATAAATCATGTAATAATAACAGATACAGTCGCGTGTAATCACGTGTAATCACGGAAGTACAATATGTCTCCACATTTGCAGGCGTAGAAAATGGATTTACCGTTGTCGGAAATGTTCTGGACAGATGCTTATGAGCAGCGAATCATAACTCCTTTCGCGGACATGAGTTTAAGACATCGCAACCTCGTTCCCGATCTTATTCAGTAGCTAAAATTGCTATGTAAATATATCCTAATAATTATCTCCACACCTGAGATCCAATTATCTATGTTATGCTCTACGTTATACTGTGCACAGATAAATTTAAAAAGATATGTTTATTTAAAACAAAAGATTTTCATATTAAAGTACGTATTATACATAAATTAACGCATCAGAGTTTAGACTTTTTGCTACTTCTCTGACACTAATATTAAGGATAACATCGGACTAGTGATATCAGATTAGTCATTAAACGTGAGAGACAGTTCTGTACACCAATTACTCCTGTCCTGCCGTCACTGATTGCGCCACCGAGTAATTAAAGTTACGGTGTCTTCTTACAGGATGAAGCCAACTGGGTTATGTACCGCTGTGCGTAAAGTGCACTTTTCATCACTAAGCAGCTTGTATATACACGTTTTTTTCAACGATACATTATTTAACACGTTGACTGCCAACTACGAGATATCTCGTAGGTTGTTTACTTGCCCAGGACGCCAACTACGAGTTATCTCGTCGCTTCATTACTTGATTAAATCAGATTGGCTTCTTAGACCAGAATCGTGAAAAGTTCCGTGGCAGTCAACGTGTTAATAAAAATGATTTTGTAGCAAAATATTTTTCAACTATACTATTCACTAATAGCGAAAGTGAAACACAAAGAATATTATATATGTTGCGCTTTTATAGATTAAATGCGAGAGTAATAGTATAGTAATAGCGGAGTAGTCTCGGCGGATTAACTCGTACGGCATATTTAATCGAGCAATTGCGAAGTTAGAGCAATAGAGGAAGATTTTGGCGTGTGCCGCGATGCGGTGTTGGGTGGTTACGCTTCACGCACCGATAGCGCCTGTCCCTTCCTCTTTTCGCCCGTGGAATATCCGTGCCGGATAGGCCCGTCTCTCTTTCTGCCACGATTCAGTTTTGCCGCGACAACATTGGACCGCTGATTCTTCAACTGGTTGTCGAGACAGCAACGTGATCGATCGTTCGAAAGTCTATAAATATAAGGAATATTGTGGTGTCCGTATGGGGTAGGATATCGTTCTCGACAATTCATCTCCGCTCTGAAATTTTCGACGTGAGACATTATAATCACATTTCCTTCGGATTATATTTGATTTGCTAGGGACGGATTAGGTTTTTGATTTAAGTTATCATTGCGCTTATTCCTGCACATTGCGGCAAGCCAAGATTCTTCTTGAGAATGAAAAACATCTTAAGACACGCGCGACGAAGTTTAGCACATCAATTGTTGGTGCAGCGATGAATCCGCAACGGATAATGACGACAGTGGGGATCCGAATCTTCATTACTTTCTTTATTATTCTACTGCAAGGGGAAACACATGGGAAATATTTGGAGGTAAGATTGAGGCGAATCGACTCACAATTTCCTCATAAAAAATAGGTGTTCTTCAACATCAATCACGTTTGGAAAATCATAATTGTTGTTCTCTAAAACACGACGGTTAATTACGCCGGAAATTGTGTAATAAATGTTCTTTAAATTGTTCTTTAAATGTTCTTTAAGTCTTTCATTTATTTTCCACTGCGTTTTATTCGAAGGGTCTCAACGTGAATTTAGGGGACGCCCTTTTATTCCTCAGAGAATATGACAGCGCAGCTTCGTTAATGTGCACGAGAGTGATGACGGCCCAGTGGAATTTCGCGACAAATGTTACTGATACTAATCACCAAAAAATGGTGAAATAAATTTTCTAACTGATACACAAATTAACGAAATAATTATAATTTATAAGTTACTGAATTTCTCATAAAATTTGTTGGTCTTTCTGGTCCTCACAGGTGGATGAACAAGCTCTAAAATTAAAATTCGAAAGAGCTTCTTGGCGTAAAGCGGTTACTTTTGCTTGGAGTCGAATACCAGACCCTTTAGCAAGAAGGGAACTTAAAATGATTGCTACGAAAGGTCGAAGTTCCTTGACTGATGATAAATTTAATGAAGTAGGTTGAATCCGTCGTAATAAGAATAGTTTCGAATTCTTTTCAATTTATTTAATCACAAATGTGGCTGTGACTCTTTGATTTTGACTAGAATCTCTGTCATTAAGTGTTAAAAAGTATCAATAATTCTCATGCCATCACAGTTAAATTTTATTAGTTTTATTTATTTAACTTTCAGATAAACCGTTTAATAACCGAGATGAAAGAAATCTATTCTAAAGCCAGAATATGCCCGTACAAACAAATTGATGCAGACTGTAATTTGAGTCTAGATCACGGTTAGTTTTTCAAATCAATGTTGTATACAGAAATAAATATACGGACTACGATGTGTATATGCATTTTCGTGCTTGTGAAAATTTCCAGATATAAATGAAATGATGGCACAATCGAAAAACTACGACGAATTATTGTATTATTGGCACGCTTGGCATGAAGCGGTCGGCCCAAAACTTCTGAACAAATATTTGAGATACGTTCAATTGGCCAATAGAGCGGCGAAATTAAATGGTACGAATAGCTTCTACCAATTGCAATAGATATAATATTTTAACTCATCTTACGAATATTCTTGGAATAATGCGTTTTGAGAAACGTGTAAACGTTTCACAAAATGTTTTCTTGCAGGTTTTGCCGATGCTGGAGACCAGATGAGAGATTTATTCGAAGACGAGTATTTCAAACAAAACATAGCAGAGGTGATGTCAGCTATAACTCCGTTGTATAAGAATCTTTTTACTTACGTGCGATCGAAACTAATCGAAAGATACGGCGACAAAATACGCGAGGACGGCCCTTTACCGGCGCACGTTCTGGGAAATATGTGGGCCCAAAATTGGGAAGGTCTGTTCGAACTAGTGCAACCTTTCCCTGCAAGCAGAAAGCTCGATGTGACTTTGGAAATGATGATTCAAAGTATCACTCCACTGAGGTATGCCTAAAAAATTGAACGGTACGCTTTCCTATAAATTTATGTAATATGAATAACGTTACGAGGGAATGTTTTTACGGTGAAAAGGATGTTTCAAATAGCTGAGGAGTTTTTTACTTCACTTGGGATGAAGCCGATGCCACCGGAATTCTGGAAGTTTTCCATGTTTGAAAAACCTATCGACAGAGAAGTGAAATGTGGTCCTAGCGCGTGGGACTTTTGCAATAAAATCGATTATAGGTCAGTTCTTTTACTATTTTACGAAGTTTAATTTCTTTCAGATTAACATTTCTATATTGTATTAGATTTTCCGGAATTATATCTCTTTTATATAATTACAGGATAAAGCAATGTACCCGAGTTACATTGGAGGATCTATTGTCAACGCACTATGAAATGGCGCATGTGCAATATTATCTGCAATATAAAGATCATCCGTTGCTATTTCGAAACGAAGCGATTCCAGGTACGTCCTTTTTATGCATATTATACTGCTTGGTTTTCTGTCACGATCATTTCTTCGTCAGGTTTTCACGAAGCTGTTAGCGATGCGATAGGTTTATCTATTTTTACTCCTCAACATTTACACAAAATCGGACTGCACAATAACTTAACAGATGATTACGACGGTAGAATAAACTTTTTAATGCTAATGGCTCTTCGCAAAGTGGCTTATCTACCGTTTGCTTATATAATAGATCAGGTAACGTGTAATTTTTATACATAGTATGCTTTTTTTTTAAGAATGGGAGATTATTGAGCTAGAATGTAAGCTGAATAATAATTAAATAGTCGTAAAAGTGCATGCTATTTTTTCCTAAGTGGAGGTGGCGCGTCTTTAGCGACGGCGTAGAAGACATGACAGCACATTGGTGGGAACTGAGATTACAATATCAGGGTATTGTCCCACCTACGCCTAGATCCGAAAGAAATTTTGATCCGGCAGCAAAGTATCATATTCCAGCGGACAGTCCTTACGCCAAGTAGGGACATATATATGTTCACCCTGTCACTTTAAACGGATTTATGCGAAAACATGTCGCTGTAATGCACTTGTTAATTTTTAGGTACTTCGTAGGCGTTGTTTTACAGTTCCAATTGTTCCAGTCATTGTGTGAAATCTCTGGTCACATTGGCGAACTGCATGCTTGCGATCTTTACAGGTCACGAGAGGCGGGTCGATTGTTATCGTACGTATACAATAATTATAACGTGGATATTATAGTAAGATTTGCTAAATCGTCATTTAACACGTTCCCTGCCAACTACGAGTATACTTGTCATTGATATATGAGTCTTACAAGCCAACTACGAATATATACGTATGTCGATTACCGATCTCCTTTGCCAAGCAAGAGTTAATCCGTAGTATAAGCACGTTTATTTGGAGCCTTGGCTTGTGAATAAAGCGGAGAACACATTTGGCGGCTTGGTAGAAGGAAATATGCCCGAGGAGCGTGGCAGCGAATGTATTAAATAGCGATTACAAAATTATATCAAATATTCTATCGATCTAAAACGAGATATTTTTGTATTTACAGAGACGTGTTGTCGATGGGAGCTTCGAGACCGTGGCAAGATATTGTCAGACAAATGACGAGAGGTAGAACGAATAGAATAGACGCTGGTGCCATGCTCAAGTATTTTGAGCCTTTGAATGTGTGGTTAAGACGACAAAATGAGATGCAGCCTGTGATCGGTTGGATTGCAAGCAACGACGACAGAGGTTGATTTCAAATTAATATTTAACTGGCAATGTCAAGCGTTATCTGTTAAAAGTGCAAAGTGTAACTTGCGAGTACAGGAATTTTTCAATTTGTTTCAGCACTGTTATCCCAATGGTATCAAAATAGTGCACAGCGACTTGAATTGTGCAGCTTATTCTCTCTGCTGCTTTTAGTTGGCAAAGCTTTTATTTATTAATAATTACTGCATATACGGCGACTCAATATAGTTATACGTGTGTAAATCTCCTTACATCTCATGATAATAAACATTAATTTTTAAGTTGATTTATTATACATGCATAATAAAAACCTATTTAGAAAGAAAATCCTGCATTATATACGTTCTTCGTTTAATCCACGTCGTATCAGCGCAGCGATGCCAATGATGGCACTTGTGTGTGGTTCGGTGCCGTTGAAAATATTTTCTTTGGTAAGAACTCCATATAATTGTTCAATTATAATTAAGTAATATTAAACATTTCCAAATCCGATTCGTCCGATAAGTACGTGTAATTAAAGAAATAGACTACATTCCCGTTAGAGGGGGTGAAATCAGAATCAGTGAAACAGAGTGATAGAGAACTAAATATTATCCTTGTCTAATTGAGCAGGTCTAATTGACAGGTCTAATTAGTAGGAAGAATCAAACGAAGAGCTATTACGCGTTGAACATGTTTTCTCTTTCTCTCATTACATTCCATTCTATCATGTTTCCTCTGCATCACCCCCTACTACAGTATTGCACGACAACGGAATTATCTGATTCAGCATATCTGTCCTTCAATCTCGTCGTCAGCCGTCCCATGTCACGAGCGCGCAGTCCAACTCTTTGAGTCTGTGGATGAACGTCAACACTTGCCTATGATAGTAAGTTATCAACAATATCCTATCAAATTTTAATAGTCTTCAACAGTGGCATCATATTGTATCTTGGAATACATAAACTCTGCATATATCGGCAAGATTATTGATCGGTGTCGCAAAGCAGAAGGTATCTTACATTATTGCTGTCTTATCTTATCTGTCTATCCATCTCACGCAATACACGGATGGCTGAGCACACAACTTTTAGTTACTTTAAGTAAATAACCATCCTCCTCGCGCACATGTTGCATCTAGAATGCGGTCCGGCGAGCGATAAATGTCTCGAAGCTTTCTCCTTCTTCGTCTATCTTTCGGATACAAATAAAGGAAGAAAGAGAAGAGATAAAAACGCATCGAAGTTTACGTAACGCTTGCTGGATCTCTAGCCTCGTAACATTAACAAGTACACTCACCTGCCGGTAGCTGTTCCTGTCGGTTCAATACCTGTTGCCGCGCGGCTGTCGTGCGTTCCCGCGTAACGTTGCCGAACCGACTGCCGTGATCAAACATGTGCGGAACAAAGACCACGAGTCTCGTTAACGTTCCAACCTACAGATGTCACTGCTCGCGCTGGTATTGATACATCGTCCGGTTAATGATGCCTGGGATCGATGCGAAGTAGAGACTGGTGTTACGTGTCAAAAGATCGTGGAGTTTGTGAATAATTTCGCAGATGAATCCGACGACGGTCGGAGCGCATGCATCGATGCGTTAACGGTCGAGAAGCTTCCCCGGTCAAGTTTCCTACGTGAACATCTTTACTTTCTCTCACGTGTGCGGCTGCCACACTCAGAGTGTCGTAATTGTTGGTTAGGAAAAGCAGCGGCGATTTTTAAACATGGATATAATCCTGGTCCGCGGCCTAAGATTCACCTCTGATTTACGCAACGTCCCGACATTGCTGACGAAATATTTCCCATTGTCAGCGTGTTGTCCGTGTCGTATCGAGACGACAAGTTGGAAAGCCATACGAATATTCCGAACGTCAACCAACGCAGTACGCACTATAAGGCTTGTTTCGCTTGCCGAAAGGTATCCTTTTCACAGGATTGCATCGCGTAATTCTTTAGGCCTCGTAAATCATATACTGGCGTGTCAGAAGTCATTGAAAGAAAACGTTAATAAGAATGGCGTTACCTTGGCGTACTATTCGGATTTTAAGCAGAAATCCGAGGGCGACTGTCAGGAGCCTCAGGCGGAAAAGAAAGTAACAATATTTCAGAAGATGAAGCAAATGACCAAAGACTATTGGCATATATTGATACCTGTACACTTTGTCACCTCCGCAGGATGGGTAGCTATATTTTACACTGCTGTTAGAAAGTACGTATAAATGTAACCGGCTTATGCGTGTATGCGATTAGAGTTTGGCGATTGGTCACATATGAAACTATATGTTTTCAGCGGTGTGGATATAGTACAGCTGTTGGAATATCTGAATTTTAGCGAGAAATATGTCAATTTAGTACGTAATTCTAGTGCCGGCAACTGGGCCATAACTTATGCACTTTATAAGATATTTACGCCGCTTAGATACACTGTCACCGTCGGTACGTAGTTTTGACATTTCACATGACATGTAACTGCGTATGCACTCTCTGTGCCACATGTTCTACTTAAAAAAAAAACACTAATGTTAAAACACAGGAGGAACAACGATCGCTGTTAGACACCTCAGCAAATTAGGCTACGTGAAGGCACCGCCGTCATTCAGACGCCAGCCGGTAGAGGTGAGTAACGCGACCGAAGTGCAATGTCATTTACTGAGATTGAAAAAATAAACTGTGTCTCTGTCTGAAACATATCTCTTGTCTGTTTTCCTTTTACACGCTCACACGGTACAGCCTGCGCGCAAAATCATGAGTAGGTTACCAATTACAATTAATTTCAAATACATTGTACTGATCTCCGCCACTTTTGCACTTTGCGAAATATTGTTACATGTATCGCGCGATTAATATGCGTAGTAGTCGTTCACATCTCTACCGTAGAATGTGCTTTCTTCGTAATTGTTTTTAATCGTGTTATAGCCAATACAGTCAAACAAATGTGCAGTGGAACACAAGACAAAATTCAAGGCAGATTGTAAAACGGACCGACAAAACACAGAACCGCCGAAACCCTAATGTATTGCCCGCACTATGTCAGACCTACGAATTGGGCTTAGCGTAGCTCGGGATTCTGTTATACGGCGATATTAATGTACATTTTTCGTTGTAAATTATTGTGCTCTGATAAATATTTTATCTTAAATCACCCCCTAGACTTGTTTACTTCTTTACCCAAAACTGCTTCATTTCTACAAATAAGCGCGAAATATCGTACGTAAAGTACATTAACGACTGCAAGGTCAGATCCGTTTAGTAATTTCCCCCAGGAGAGGCTTTCTCATCCTTTTCTTCAGTTTTATTTGTCTTTATTGAAGGCTCGCTATTTATACATACCGTACACGGTTATTTAAATAAGATTACACTTTTATCTACAGCTTAAAAACTACTTAAAACTGATTATGAATTATACTTATTAACCTTGAAGAGGGAGAAAGAGAGTAACGACAGTTTTTTTGGCAGCTCACAAGTTGTGCGTCTTTCAATTTTACGATATTGTCACCTGTTGGTACCACATCCGCACACTTTTGTATTCCGAATATACTTATTCAGCCTCCGTTCTTTGTGCCGCGGAAATTTCAAACGCGTCACTAACAACCCTTAGAATAAGCGAGCCACGCTTACAGAAATTCGACGAAAGTCCTCACCACGTGGGCGAATAACGCGCTTAAGTTCAACGCTCACCGCATGCGAGCAGCGGCCTTGGCCGTTCTCGTTTGTCAACGTCTTCGCGCACGGAAGTGCCGCATCGTAACGACCACCCAGTAAAATACCAACTAACAATAACATTACAACAATGTTATCATTTCCCACTCAACAATGTAATTGTTACATTGCACTTATATTCTTAAGAAACTATAATATTCATGTAATGTTAGAGTAGCGTTTGTTCCGCGCCACACAGCGATCGTCTTGCTTTCTGAGCGTTTCGCAATCTAAGAGTTAGCCCTCGAAATATACCATACTGTATTTCATTATTTAATCGATAATCTTCAATATTGCGCGAGTTCTTGCAGCAAGACGATATTAGATTTATTCTAATAAATACTGTCAATGAATGATACATGAAGTACGATGATAACTGATCGACGGAGGGAATTCGCAGGAATGTACCCGAGTTTCCGTCGTATATAAGTCTGAGTTATGATAAACATGCGATAAAAAACGTGGCGGATATATATATACATGTGCTAAGAAGTACGGAATTCTTGCTTAACTATTATCCTATTATATCACAGTTGCCTGCGCAACTCGTTCATCGTAATGAGACCACTGCATTCGCAAGAGAAAGTATTTTGGATAAATAAATAAGGTTCGTATATATTAGACATACCATTTATCTGTACCATCTATTCGCTTATTTTCCCACTGATTGTAGTAATCCCAAAGTGTAATGTGATTCAAGTTCTCTAATATGCAGTCTCACGGTGTCAAAGTAGCGTTTTACGTGAAATTATAAAACAGGTAAATTAATATATTCTGTTTTTGATATTTGAAAAACGTACATCCAGTACGAAAGATAATCGGCAGTCGTTGTCATCTCTTTATTGTGTAATATTTTATCAGCTGCTATTATCGATGATATATTGATTCGATATCCTGTGTTTTATAAGATTATAATAGCATATATGAGCATGTTACGGTGTATGAATACGTACCATAATAGATTAAAACAATGACCACTATTACAGCCAATATATTCCTTTCTTTTAATTTTGTACAGCAATCGTACGTACGACACGAGTGTCACACGCGCTGCACGCACAAAAGACTTATTTCACCAAAAAGTTTCATCACTCCATTTGTGTATATAGTTGTGTAAAAATATGGAATTGACGTAGAATTAGCATCGAGAACAATGAAACTCAGAACATCAAAAGATAATCAGATTAGTGATATCGGATAATGCCAAATCGGAATATAATTGATGTGATTTAGTAGGCGTTTTTGATGTCGATTTGATGTTAATTCAATGTCAATTCGTTATGTAAGAATTGTCTTAAAATGTCTTTTTAGTTATAGTCAAAGAATAAAAATTCTAAAAATTATGGGTAGTCAGGGGTAAAATGTTTTATAAAATGTTTCTCGAAAGTCCACGGCCACTACAGGCCGGAGGAAATCATGTAAAATTTTCTGCTTGTAACATTTGGTTGATCTCATAGTTTTGAGAATATTTCCCGTCTGTCGAACCATTTCTGAGCACCGACGAAAAGTTGTCCCGTTCTTAGGTCGATTTGCCTTACATTATGCATAGTTTCAGATTTCTGGAATTTTGAATATCGCTGAACACTGCTTGTTAGTTATAATTCCCACGGATTATTCGTTATCGGACGATCATTACGCGCGCAGTTCCGTCTGACAGAATTTCAAGCACGACCACCGGTGCAACTTAGCCCATAAATTGATAGCTCGCCGATACTGGTTGCGGTGCCCTCGGTTGCGTGTGGGATAGGCGTTGAATGTGGCACGCACGACACATAAGCCTGCCGTCGAGTGGGTAGCACCGTTTATCCGGCTCATCGGTCAACTGCATGTTACAGTCTTCACAAACGTAACAATCCACATGAAAGTCTTTGTCCATGGAGACTACCCTGACTGTCTCCTCGGTGCCCTGAAAGAATTCCTTTTCATTTTCATTCGAAAGAACGCCGCGAGTGACGCAGCAAACGAGATCATTTCGAGCGGACGCACCTCAACCGGCGTGATTCCCTTCCCGCAAGACGCGCACTTAGGAGCGAACATTCTGTGATAATCGTTCACGCAGTAAATTTTGTTGTCAACGTCGACGGTGAAGGGAACGCCATCGAGGCATTCGTTGCACACGCAACACCTGAAGCAGCCTGGATGATACGACTTGCCCATCGCTTGCAGTATCTATGGAAAACAGTGAGTGACAAGTTAAAGCTTAACGAGGACTTACGATCGGATCCCGTCGCTTACCATTTCCATGATGAGATGACCGCAAATCGCGCATTTCTCGGCCGTCTGTTGGAAACCGGAGTACTGCGGACATAACGGCGCTCGTAAGTTAAACGGACGATTGTTGCAATGTATTGAGCTGGCCTACGTACCAAATAGTCCTCCTCGCAATAAACCCTCCCGTGAACGTTGTAGAAGGCTTTGCCGCGGAGCGCCCTTCCGCAGGAACAGCATATAAAGCAATTGGTATGATAGAGGTTGCCCATTGCTTGACAAGCTTGTCCGGCGCCGGTCACTTTCTCACCGCACGTATGGCAAATACCTATCGGCAAGAAATATCAATGCGAAACTTCACGTGCCATTTATGCCGCTTGTCGCTGAATAATCGACGAGCATTAACATAACATCGGCTCCGCTGATTCTTATCGAATGTACGACGGTTATTCAAACGAAGTTCGAGCTTGACCGACGAGGACAGTTTGAGCGAGCGCAATTTCCCCGGGACGCGATTTGAAAACCGCTCTCGCCGATACAATAGCGCGCGCGCGCGGACTTCAAGAACACGAGAGAATCGAGCTGCACCGTCGAGGGTTAAAAATACGCGTATCCACGGGCGCAACGAATGCGCTCATCAGGCTCGATCGCTATCAAAAACCACCAAATGTCTGTTCACGTCGAGGTGAGGTTAAACCAAGCCGAACTCACAGCTCTCGATGGGTAATCGCGAGCCTGCCATCCCTCGGCGAACGAGCTCTCGTAATTCGCACGCACCCGCGCCGACACACTGCTCGTTTCGATTTTGCGACTCGGTTTTGCTAGACCAGTCCTCGCCGGACTAGAATCCGAGCAACGAGTCGGACTGGTCTATCTATAACGCGATTAGTTACCGGCCCGACGTAACCGCGACTCGTACAGGACGTTGCACGAAGAATACAGCCCATTCGCGAGATACGAAGGCGACTAGGGGGACATTACGTTCGCCTAAACGCCTGCCACTTCTCGACTGACATTGCTTCGCCCGACCGAGGTTCCTGTCCGCTTGTGCTCGCGGTTCCTTATTGCGCGCGTTAGGCAGCGTCCACATCTATCATCTAACTGTGAGCGATCGGTATATCGCGATGTGATTCCATTCGTTATCTCCGACATCTTCGGGAAAAACTCAGACTAGTTATCTTCGTCTCAACGAGGCAAGGTACCGAGCAGAGTTCGATCTTGCTGATGACAGAGTCCATCTGATAATAACAGTGTAGGATGATTGAAGTAAAATGTACCAATGCCTGGATACGTACTTAACTGCGGGCATTCTTCGTCGTTTGCTTCTTGCTGGTTTGCTCTTTATATACGAATGTGTAATTTTTTCATATAAAACATTTGTACATATTTAATATGCGTACATATGTATATCCTATGTTGAAAATTTAAATATTCGTATTTAAAGTCGTCAAAGCGATAGAAATGCGTGCAGAGTTAGGTACGTGTCCAGACATTGGTATTTTTACCTTACGAAAACAGACATGATTTATCGTCATAACAGCATTTCTTCTTGCGTTTTATAGCTTGAAGTCGCGAATTCGTGAATTTCGCTTCGAATTCTTCGAACTCGTTTTAATCATTTTATCAATTAACCGCTCTATTCGTCTTTTTACATTTTGAGAATGCTTCATTGATTCACTCAATAAGATGTTCGCGAGGAAAGAATATCATTATACTACATATAGAGTGACTTTTTTGATCGATCAAGGTGAAACAGCAGTTTCTGTAGCGCGACGTCATCTTTCGCGACGGATTTGGAATAAGCTCTTCCAACTGAACGGTTAACCGGATTAATGTCATTAGATATAGGAGGGAGATTGTGACAAGCGATCGAGTTTCCCTATTTCGCGTTGGACGTGATCTCGCGAGTTGCGCGATCGCGAGTGTTATCGTTGAACTCGATACCACGAAGCCGGAGGAATGATCACGCTAGCTCGGGATCATCGAGGGACACCAACGTTGTCTCGCCTATTAATGCTAATATGAACGCTACTTTAAGGCTTTCAAACAGCCGTAAAGACTAAGACGGTCTACGCGCTTATGCACGCACCTATGCGTCCCATACACGTGCGTGGCGCAGACTCGTCCTCGGCCCTTGACGCGGGAGGGGCGCGAAGAGGGATACGTGGGTGGAAGCGCGAGAGAGTGAATGTCAACGAAGTGTCGCGGTAAAAAGTGCCCGCGCCCCGCTCGAAACTCGAGACTCCGTTTTCGAAAACCGGTCTACCAGCCGGAATTCGCGCCGTGGGAATTGGCACAGCGCGTGTCGTCGCTCCGCGACTGTTTATCCCTCTTCCCCGAAATAACTGGAATTATGGATTCGCGCTCGCGCACGCTGAATATCGAGCCGCGCTGCATCGTGCGAAACCGCAATGGACGTTCTTCCGATCGCCCTCCTCTCCTCGTAACCCGCGGAGACACGAGGGACATAAAAGAACGAAGATACGGATAACGTTAAAAGCGTCGGGGAAAAATAGTTGAGTACGCGTGACAACTGGTTACGTACGTCTACGGTAGACGTTACCGCGCAAAAGCACACGAAGTATCGATAAGGTTTCGCGGAACGACCGAATAAGCATGAGCGATACGAGTATCATCGGTTTCTCACCGAAGTATTCTCCTTCCTCCTCCTGCTTCTCCATTTCCTCCTCCAACTGTCTCGTCAGTTCCTCTATCTTTCTCTCCGCTTCCGTTGGCCCCTGCGAAAAGTGGTTTGCACGTGGTGGCTTATCAATAGCAGATGCACGAGTGTCAAGCGTAATTGGCGCTTACTACGCAGTGAATTTATGGAATGGCGAAACTTTTCACACCAGTGATCGTGACGAAACCTCGATGTGGAATATAGCTGCTTTTGCATTTGCCACTTGCTCTATTTATATTAATCGATGAAAGAGCACTCGAGAGGATTTTACACGCGGACTCTATCCGTTTATACTGAAACGTTTAACGTAAAATCGTTACGTGAATATCGCGAAACGCTATTGTTCCCACACACACGGTTAACGTCACATCGATTTCTACGTTCAACGAGAGGATACAGGAGCTATGGGAAAAAGGCGAGCAAACGAGGACGTAAAAAGTATTAAAGTAGGCGGAAATAAAAGTTTGTTTGTTACAAAAAGATATCGCGTAGTACCCTGTACAGGCCAGCAGCGTGAAGAAGTGTGCAAGCGAAGAAGCTCAACGATAACAAGTAGAATTTTCGCTTAACCGCGCGTTTATTTTATCGTCGCATAGGTCAAGCGTTATGTAAAATGCGAATGATTAAGCCGTCGGCATTAATGAGATCATCGCTCTAAAACGCAGCAGAGGCATGCCTTGGAAGTTACTCACGATTTTTCGGAAGTATACACGCTGTTTCGGGAGGTCATCGTTAACAAACGTTGATCTAAGTAAACACGGTATTCTCAGACAGCACGAGACGTGGGAGACTCAGGATCATTCTAAGTAAATTCAGGTCATCCTACCGCACATTTCTAACTCGCTCTTTGAGCGTGTTATTAGAAATATATTTTGTCGTAGAAATTTCATACGCATACATGTGATTATTTTTAATTATGAGGCATTTTATAGATTTCTTTTTTCCTTTAGAATGTCCTATACGTAATATCTCACCTTGAGGTATTTGAGTGGATCAGTTGCCACTCCTAGGAACATCCGGAGGAGATCCTGGGATTATTATAATATGTCCACAGGATGTCCTCTGGATTCCTCAAGGACACTCTCTCGCACAATCTGGATTGTCTATCAGAAGAATGAGATTTATGTAAACTAAAGTTATATCTCAGCGAACTTAAGATGTGATAAAATCATCTATTTACATGAATTTCATGCATACAGTCCTCATCACTCATTAAACTAAACAAAAGCATAATCATGATGTGCACTATAACTGATTTATATGTCATTTTCGTTACTTTCTTAGAAAAACATGCAGCAAGGCGACAGGACGAGTGTTTGCTAGACGTATAGAATCTGGGATGAAAGATAACACATACACACACACACACATAGAATTTTCAGAACAATAAATACTTGTTATACGAGCACGTGATTTTTAGAAGCACAGGACTTGTGAAGCAAAATGTTGCAAGCATTAGCGATAAATTTACCGAAGGTCTAGGTGGAATGACATTGTAGGGAAGCAATCCTTTCCCAGATGCAGGTTTGATCGGCGGACTAACAGATTTTATCTCTTCTGCTTCCGGATCGGAGGGCCTTTGTAGTACAGGTACACCGGCATTTAAAAAAACAGGCCCTGCAACTCCACTAGTGACGCCAGGGGGAAGACTAGTTATCCTAGGACCAATATTAGTGTCAGCTTCACTGGTAGTAGTTGCAGCACTAGTAACAGGGGCTTGCACCTGCCCACGTACAGGACTCCCAATGGTATTGTTAGATAAAGAAAGCGGCCCATGTCTAGGTGAATTGATTATACTCTGCGAATTAATATCTGATGTTATTTGACTATGCGTTGGGCTTGTTTTCGGTGATCCTCTTGTAGTATTGTTGTTGCCAATAATGGCCCTGGTAGGATCACTTCGACTTGGAGAGTAGAGAGGTGAGCTCCTGGTAGCTGGGGGATCTGACACGTCTGGCACGTAGTTCCTGTCGTTTTGTTGTATGCCTAATCTCAAGTGTTCTGCGGAACGATTCGAAGAATAAACGGGAGAATTTCTCGTAGGAAAATCAGCCCGGTTCTCCTGATGATAATTCCTCTCATTCTGAGGCATTCCACGATTTGGAGAATAACACGGGGAATTACGGCACGCTGTCTGCTCTCCTGGACGAATTCCGTACACCGGAGAATTCCTGGCTTGTGTGTCCCCTGGGAAATTTGTATTTGACGTTCTTGAGGATGGTTCGATATACTGCTTGTAATTCTGAGTATTATCCTGCCGGAACTGCGAGGATTGGCTGTCGATCTGATTGGTGGCGCGAAATCCTTGTTGTCCGCTCATAGTATTGTCCAGTGCACTGCGATAATGGTGAGGTTCAGGTGGCAAGCGTATCGGAGGGGACTCACTGTGATATGGTAAACCAGATCTAGGAGATTGCTGCTGTTGCTGTTGCTGATCAGAGCTGTAACTGAAGTTTCGGTTTGGCGGTTGTAGTTCGGAAGGGGGAACGTAAGCGCTCCTTCCAGCCTGGTGATCTGAAGAAGCGGAGGATGAGCCCTGTAAGTACCTGGATGTGGATGAATCGATCGATCGCTGTAAACTTGAAGCATCGTAACTCTGGCCACGCGCGCTTCCACCTCTCTGTTGCGTATACGACAAACTCTGGGTCATTCCGCGCTGATTCTGAGACTGATTAACTTTCCCAGTCATAACGACATAATCACCACCATTGATGTTCGCCGGATGATAATAATTAGGTGGTACCTGAGGCCCCGGTTTGTTTTGTATATTATCAGAAAAATGTACCTCCTGTATGTTCTCGTATACTGGCGGTGCTTCATACGGTGGTAATTCCTTGGCAGGTGATGTGTTTTGATAACGATTACCAGTTGGTACTTGCGGCTGAGCCTTCCTAAAATTTCCCTCATAAGACTCGCTGGCTAACGAACCTCTAGGACTGCTTTTGGGGCTTTTCCGGGACTCAACTGGATGGTAATAAGGAGGATGCGGCTGGCTCTGTTGCTGATAATAATCTATGTTCTCATAAACAGGAACCTGCTGGAGACTCCCGCGAGCTTGACTCTGCTGTTGTTGCTGCTGTTGCGCACTGATCTGCTCCACTGGCTTGGGCGTAGCGAATCTCGAAGCGGCTATTATGTTCTCACGTTCGTACAGCTTGTAGTCGGCGGAGGCTGTTTGCCTGGCGATATCCGAGGTATTGCCCTCGATAAAGCTCTCGATAGCACCGACCGGTCTACCAGACGCTCTGGCATCGTTTCTGTTAGCTAGGTTCCTCGATACAGGCACTTGGCCTTCAGGCCTGGAGCCCGAGACTCTGCCCGCAACTGTCGCACCACCAGTGTCCGCGGTCTCATCGTCAAGCTGCAGATAACCCAACTTTTGTACGTAGGAAGTGTCCGCCGAATTACACATTGGCAACTATTTTCGTTCGAACGTTGCTCACTGACAAAATGCACAACCCCCAGCCGCGCACACGTTACAGAAACTACGCCACCGACGAGAATCGACTCGACATTGTGTAATGTCGTGCTGCGCCAGTTCGATGGTCCGCTTGTCAAACCTCCTCCTCCTCCTCTCCTCTTCCTCCTCTTCTTCTTCTCTTACTCCCTCACTTCTCCTTACGTGCGTGTTCTCGTAATTTTCTCACGGGATGGGCACGAAACCGAACGCTAGGTTACGTGTTACGCGCACACGGTCTCGGGGCCCCTTTTTCTCCCTTGATTTCGGGCTACGCCCTTCGATCAATGCGCCTCGGACTCACGTTGGTGCTCCTCGAGTGCCGACACGCCGACCGGCGCACACCTCGGGCCCCTGTCGTCGCGGCACCGAAAAATCACCACCTGCGAAAATTCATGCGACAACGCACATGCACACGCGACACACGTACGAGCGACTCTGAACCGCCTACTGTCAAGACAGGGACCTGCGCTAAGTGACACAGCGCCGTGATACTCCCGACGGTAACTATTGGCATTTCTGTCGCGACAGAATTCGAGATAGTGTCGCTGCTCAACAAGAAAGGGAACTTCAAGTATCTCTGTGAGAGACCACCGACAGCAGTCGGTGGCGCCATCGGTGGTGCCACAGTGGAAGCAGAGAGGTAAGTCAGATTCCCCGTGAACCATATGTGGGATATAACGTAGGATTGAGTTATCTCCAAACAGAATTTGACTGAACGAGATACACTTGGATTCTCCCTGTGGAATGATGCGATAGTATATAATAGATTAGAAAATATGTGATTAAAATATCCTCTTCTTAGCATCGGCGACATTCATTCACTCAACTAACCATATTCGTGCGGAATTGGACTTGGTGTAACAAGAATGAAAAGTAGCCAGATATTTTGCATAGAAATGCTATATTATATTACTATTTTCTAGCATTCCCCAAGGGAGATCCATGGTTTTCCTAGCTGGACCTTTTTCTAAATAGATTAAGTTGTTCCCACCCCCGGAGATTTTAGTCGCAGATACGAGAAGGAGGTGATCCTTCTGTTTTTCAGCGATATCAGATAGGGAAAATGCAAATATAATGGGCGACGTTCGGAACAGGTTTCTTAAACCCTGCCTAAGGTCAGAATGAGCCGAAGACGAAGACACGATGTCTCGCCTCGCGCGTTTTCATGCAGTCGCGACTACTGTGCGCGGAATAATAATGCGATGTAATTCCGCTGCGTCTCCTATCCACTTTATACTCGGCTTGGTGTACGACTACTTCGCGAACAAAACGAGGATAGGTCTACCTTCACGTTATCTTCGATAAGATACGCGATAAATTCTACGCGGGAGATATTTTTCAAATATCAATTACCGTCACTGCAGATTAATTGCTTTTATCTGTACATTCCCGTAGACCCTGTCGTCCCTTTCGCGAATGCTCCCTTGCGTTTAATTATTATTCGATATCTTAATCCGAGAGATTATTCTTCGTCGACGTCTTAAATCTACTTTCCTCCTAATTAAATTTAATAAGCTTTCGCGCAGAGCCTACAGAGATAACGATTTCCAGCGCGATCGCGGAGGGATCCGAGATTCAGGATAATCAGGGGCTTGTGTGCAATCGTACACGATTCATCTCGTGATCGATGAATTCTGAGAAACGGGTCGGCGATGAAACTAATTGCGCATAATGCATTTTAATCCTCATTTTCTTATTCTCTTTACGTTAAACTGTAACATTCTCAGATGAATGGCTCATTTGTATCGCGCGCAGTTTCATTTATAATATTCAAGTCTGGATTGCACACGCAGAATTACACACTTCCTGAGACCTAATTGCGCGAGGGAATAACAATATCCTTGCCTGAGAAATAAATAGATACAGACCTACGCAACGCGTAGGTAACGATACGAACGATTACGTATTACAACGTTTTTCGGCCATTTGTCGAATGCGCGATATAATAATCTCACTTCAATTAGCCCCTATTATTTCGATTACATTCTCGCTCGCTAAATTTATAACCCCAAATTGAACACGAAGATTATGCCGCTACGAAGTTTACCGGCAATAGTATCCCTCGAGCCATAAGTTACCGTCTGATCGCTGGCCCCAAGCTGGCAATTGAACAGTTAACAATCGCACGGTTGTCGATTAAAAAGTCTCGGTACATCTAATCTGATCGTTACGACGTCGCGCCGGTGTGTTACTTGCTGTAACCGCGTCTCGCTGTCGTCCTACGCGGGAAAGGAACCAACTTTTCACTCGTCGTATATCGCAGCTGTTCCACCACGATAACGTGGGCGTCGTGACCTCGCTCAACGAAAACCTTATATTTCCGAAAGGTGAGTAAAAAACACACGGATTTCAAGCCCTCTCATACCACCCACGAGACAGTGGGCACCCACGTTTCGCTAGGCACCTGCGCGGCTAGCCGACCACGTTGGCTAATACCGGTTGATCGATCGATCGATACCAGCTCGTGACGCAATCTCGGGCTTGCACGGCGTTCGATTTTTTCTTAATCCGTGAATCGCGCAGAAGCGTCTATCGTTGCCCATATGTCCCCTTCCTGTTGTTGTGCTTACGGACACCCGAAGTTCTACGAACGAAGACACTAGCGCTCTCGATTCCAGCGATGTAAGTTGAATACGGATCGATAAGATGAACGATACGCTCTCATCTCTAAATTCATTTCGTGATAATTCGTGATTTTATGATAACATTCTGAAGTCCGCATCGATAGGTCTGCGAATAGTTGTTACTTGAATTCATCTCAAATGAGACACTCGTATTTGAATTCAGAGTTAAACGTGAGTCTCTCAGTTGAATAGCATTTACTGTGAAATATATGATTCTGCTGGAAATTTTTGATCTAACTGATATCATAAATCTTGAAATATCTCACATAAAACAAGTTTCAAGTAACAACTACTAATACGAATCTAAGCCTGATGTCACTGGTTGTCATTTAAATGTTACTCCATGTAAGGTATTCAGGTTTTAATTTAGAATTAAATCTGTGCTTTTCAATTGAATCATATCAATTCAATCATTCAATCGAATCAATATATATATATAACATTATATTTGTAGTCGCGATTTAACAGTAAAACTTACGTTCAATTCTAAATTCAAATCCGAGTCTCTTATTTGAGAGAGATTTGAAGTAACTACTTATGGCGGGCTTAAAAGATGCGTTCTCGTTATTCGATGCTTTAAAAACGATACAGACGAAAAGGCGCGAAATTATGGTTCTTGTACTTTAATCCCTTATCGTTGCCTTTCCCCGTCGCGGCAATATCGCGTGAGCCAGACGTAAAGTGCACACTGTGCAAGACGCATTGCGTCCCGGGCGGAAGTGCAGTGACCAACACGCACGACACGACAGCACGTTCCCGTCGAGCACGAAGCCTTGTGTGACATAAGGCTGATGCACGTGTCACAGTCGATGCGACAATAAACGAGACGATCGCATTTATACGAACACGTACGCACGCATAGTGGCCGCCGAAGCAAGCGCTAACGAGATGATTTAGGCAGGAAGTACGTGCCCGAACATGTAGGAATAGATACTACGGATGAATGACTCATAAAATGTATTATACGGGCATATGTAATCATACAAATATTTACCGCTCACATATCGTGTAATGGGATTTGTGCGTATCTTTATGCGGATGTGTTGTTCGTATATTCGCGAGTACGCATATATTTCCATACACGCCCGTGTCAGTATGGCGTAATCATTCATCCGCGTAATATGATGTCTACACGCCATATACGAGTAAGTACACGATGCATCGCAACGATTTGTCTCTCGGCGCTGACTCGGCAAAAAGTGAGTGATTCCATAGAAAAGGAAACGCAAGATAGATATCACGGCGCGGAGATCATCTAATTAGCCAGCAATTACAGCCGGCAACGTTACGTAGACGTGGACAATTTAAAAATTCAGTCGGCTCGCGTTCGTCACTGCCTGATGTATCTCGCGGTAGCAGGATGCGGAGGATACGTGCGAGACATGTCGAGTGTATCGAAAGTCTCCCGCTTTCTCTGCATATTTTCGATCACGGATGCAGAAATTCGATTAATGAGAACGACGTCTATTTCACCATTCGGAGTCGAAAAGTCCTCATATATATTAAGGTCGATGGAAAGTTCTCCGGCGGCGGCGCACAGCCATTGCCGACAATTGTTAATTCTTCTCACTGTCGATCGCGGATCTCGCAATGATCCCACTGTTTATTATCAGATCACGCGGTAAAAGTCGCGAGTGTGCCAATTGGGCGAAGCGCAACATTTTGCGAGTAGAGTTCAAACGTGAGGAAACAGAGTGTAACGAAGAGTAGGGAACGTCCATGCGGGACATATGGTCGTAAAGTGCGAATTATGAAAGAAATGCACGCAGGTTGTGCGAGAGGTACGTGAATTTCGACGATACGGAATTCCGCGCGGCGATCTATTCTCTCCATTTGCAACGACGTTGCATTCCTTCGTCGCTGACTTTTTCCGCCGTCGAATCGAATTCTTGCACCTACCAGGTTGCCCCGAGTGCTGGAAGTCTCGTCGTCGTCGGTTCTGCGTTCCAATAGCGAGTGCATGCGGTCGCACGCGTGTGCGCACGTTTCCTCTCGCACACACCACGTCCACGCTCGTGTCGCTTGACACACGCACGCGTGTGTCGATAAGGTACACCTCGCTCCGCTCGGTCGCTACCTTGACAAGAATTTGGCCCGAAACCGGTTCACTCTTGTGAAACACACGGTCTCTCCCCGTGCGATTTCTTTTGCGCTTCCGCCCGGGATTTACACCGGAGTTTTAAAACAGCGGACACGATCGACTCCACCCGTGTGGTGTCCCCTGTTATTTCGGTAGTTCAATAATTGGATTACGATACCGAGTGGTTTCTTCCAATTGAGTGTCGCAAAAAAGCCATCACCTTCACGGAGATATATGGGAAGAAGGAAATGACGAAATATGAAGGTTAATAAATATGATGATTGGTAATATAGCGAAATCCGTGTTTCTTCCTTCGAGTAAGAAATGTCATGACTTACCGTCGTGACGAGAATAGTCCTTCGCGAAGAGTGAGCAGAGAAGGAAGAACATTCTAATAAAGGATGTTGTAAATATAGAAGCGAAATATTAAGTGACGTTACTTCCAACCGATTGTAAATTGTTCATCACTAAATTAAATTACGCGATCCGCACCGTTGTTAGCTTCATTGTATAATTTTCTCGCGGGGGACGTGTTCGCCGCTCATTAAGAATACATTCGAACGGAAGGATACGTGCTTGAACTTTTTGCGAATCTAATCAAGTGGCTTCAATGCGGCGGGCGTAAAGGAGTGAACGCTTGCCCGAAGTAACTGGGGAGGAACTTCACACATGAGATCCGCATCCACCTCTGTTAATTGAAACAGTTTTGTACGAATTAATATGCTTCACTTG